TGTTGTTGTTGTTAATTTACGTAGCACTAGAGCTGCACAATGGGCTATTGGCGACGGTCTGGGAAACATCCCGAAGGATGATCCGAAGACATGCCATCACAATTTTGATCCTCTGCGGAGGGGATGGCACCCCCGCTTCGGTAGCCCGACGGCCTTGATAACTATTGAAAAGATATCAAAATCAGCCAATGAAATTTATTTATTTATTACTCTTAGCGGCTGCTAAGCACCGTTGAAAAATAAATAAACTAAAAAATTTAATAAGTGTGACTTCTACAACATTGAAATGAAAGGAAGTAACACAATATTTGTAATCAAAATTATTGCAGAATAGTAGTTGCGAATTCGATTGAAAATTATCATGAAAAAAGTTTTGCTAGAAAATACTTTGTAGATCATAAAAAACAAACATAAGTTCTTCGACTTCATATTTTTTGAAGCATCAATTTTAACTTGCTTATAAAGTTAGTATTGCTTTAAAAGAATTTTTCCAATATGGCATTAATCAGTTCTCTTTAATATATACATTAATATAGTTTTTTTTTTTTAAATAGCTTTTATGTTACATTCTTCAATTTAAAGTTACTGTTCAAAACGTTGAAAAATTTTTAATCATATTTTTTCTCCTTCCTTAAATGTTATTAATGTTTATGATGGATAAGCTACTATTTAATGTAAACCAAATCTGTAAATTTAGTACAAATATTTAATTGATTTATAATTAATAGATAAAAGTAGTCATTTTTATCTAGAAATGAGTTTTTAGAAACAATGTCTATATCTGTGATAATATAGAAACAATGATCTTCACTGTTCTATATTATCTTGGAAATTATATATTATAAATTACCTATTAGAATTAAGGTCAAGATGCAAATGTAGAATAATGTTCAGTTGTTATACTAGGTAGTGGCTTCTTCCACCAAGTTTTTCAGTAAAAAAAAAAATATATATATATATGTATAGATATATATATTTATTGTAGTTGTTCATGTTGTTTCCCATCAAAAATTATCTCAGAATGGTAGTTGTGATTTCAATTGATACTCATTCAGGAAAAGTGTATGCTTCATAAATGTTCTTTTTCTAAACTGTCGAAATTTACTGTGTATTGTTGTCAGGTTTTCTCAGTATTTTTTTTCTTCAAAAAATTGTTAAAGGAGTTTAAATTATGATTTCCCTTCTGGTAAAACTTTAGTAGACAAATAATTTCATTGACCTGAAGTGGTTTGTGTTATCACCATAAAGATATATAAAATTTTTGCCTCTGATTAAATTTTTTTGGATATCTAGGTAGGATTCTAGATGATATATCAAATCCGATCTAGTCGCCTGGTTTGAGAATCAATCTGGTTAATCATGAGTACGGGTTTAACAGTTAGGCTGAAAAGCTTGTAGACTAACATAGAAATTTTTTTGTTGTTGATAATATTCCATTTTATTATTCAATATAGTTTCCTTCAAGGGCGATACAACGATTATAGCAGTCATATAATTTTTTCTGATACCATTTTTATCGTACGATTTGTCTTTAGCCTCAAAATAGGCCTTTGTTTCAGTGATTACTTCTTCATCGGCGCCAAATTTCTTTCCAGCAAGCATTCTCTTGAGGTCTGAGAACAGGAAAAAATAGCTGGGGACCAGATCTCGAGAATACGGTGGATGCGGAAGCAATTCGAAGACCAATTCATATAATTTTGCCATCGTTTTCATTGACTTGTGACACGGTGCATTATCTTGGTAAAACAGCACTTTCTTCTTCAAATGGGGTCGTTTTTCTGCGATTTCGAAGTTCAAACGCTCCAATAACGCTATGTAATAGTCGCTGTTGATGGTTTTTTCCTTTTCAAGATAGTCAATGAGTATTATGCCATGAGCATCCCAAAATACTGACGCCATAACTTTGCCAGCTGACTGTTGCGCCTTTCCATGCTTTGGAGTTGGTTCGTCTCGTGCAGTTCACTCGGCTGACGGCCGGTTGGACTCCGGTGTGAAATTATGCAGCCATGTTTCACCCATTGTCCCATATTGATGCATAAATTCGGGTTTATTACGATTAAACAGCTTCAAACACAACTCAGAATCACCAATTCGTTGTAGTTTTTGTTGTAGTTCGTGCGGCACCCACTTTGCCTAGAGCTTTCGCATACTCGAATATTCATTCACGATATGTTCAACACATTCCTTTGATATCTTTAGAGTCTCAGATATTTTGATCAACTTCCCTTTACGGTAATCTATAATTATTTTGTGGACTTTTTTGATGTTTTCGTCAGTAACAGCCTCTTTGGTGCGACTACTGTGTGCATCTTCGTCGGTGCTCATTTTGCCTCGTTTAAACTTAGCAAACTCTCCATGGTTGATTTTTCTGGTACAGAGTCCGAATAATGTTTCCCAAGCCTTGGCTTCAAGAGTATTTTTTTTCGCTAAAGAGCAATGCTTTAAAAACACATAAAATTTCTTTTTATCCATTGTTTTTAAACTAATAAAAGTTGCTTCACTAAAAGTACTATATCTCACAAACTAATAGTCCGACAGCTGTCAAATTTATATCCGTGTCTTTCAAAGGTTAGAACTAACTAAAAATCATGTGTATTTAATAATAGTAGCCCTCTACGAACTTTTCAGCCCAACTGTTAGCTTATTATTATAGAATATTAACATTATTTTCAGGACGACCAGAATGTGATGGATTGGAAATGATTTATTTTATGTTTGATACATTGAACAATGTGAAAGTTAAACTTCCTTTTATTATTTTTTTAACAGAGTTGATAATTAAGGGAAAATAGCATATCTTTTTGAATTAATCATTTTCACTTATGAAATCCAAATTTCACTTCGATTGGGAATGTAAGTGTATTGAATCTCAGACAATGGCCTTTAATCTTTTTTTTTTTTTTCTTTTTAAAGGAAAAAAAAATTGTCCAAGGAATACTAGGTTGATGTCCTTCACAAAAAAAAAAAAAAAAATTGTCAGGAATACCAGATAATGGTCCTACAACTAAAAAAAAAAAAATTAGGATATAGTGGTATTTTTTTAAAATTAAGGGCTATTAGATGATATGTCTTATTTTGAAGTTTTTCGTAATCTATCATTAGTGGAAAACTCATAACCATTTTTATTAGAAAAATGCTTGTTAAGTGTTCTTTTTAAAATTTTTTTATTTTATAAGCTGATTGTTTTTGTATCTTTATATTCAAAAATTAAACAAATTACTTTGTGGATAAATTGCAATTTTACATATTTTTATTAATAATTATTTAATATTTATTATAATAAATTATGATTTTTTACCCTAAAATTTTGACAGAAATTGTCAAAACAAAATGGAAGTTTAATTGAGCACTGTTAATTTTTATGTACTTTTATTTATCATTACTACTTCATATTTATAATAGCTAATAATTTTTTATACCAAAATTTTTGTTTAATATTGTTTTTGAAAATTGTCAAAAACTATGCTAACCTCAAATTGTCTGCTGTATTTGTTTCCTGCTGGTTATTTCCATATTGGGGCCAACTGCAATTGCCAATCTATACTCTTAGAGTTAGTCGTTCTCTATGATGTTTTTTTAATTTTATTATTTGTTTTTTTTTTTAAAGATTTTTATGGCTCATTGCCTGAAAATTTGAAAACTATTTTGGCACATGTGCTGATAAAGAGNTGGTGCATTGTCTTGATGAAACAGCACTTTCCTCTTCTTCAAATGGGGCCGTTTTTCTGCGATTTCGTAGTTTAAAAGCTCCAATAACGCTATGTAATAGTCGCTGTTGATAGTTTTTCCCTTTTCAAGATAGTCAATGAATATTATACCATGAGCATCCCAAAATACTGACGCCATAACTTTGCCAGCTGACTGTTGCGCCTTTCCACGCTTTGGAGTTGGTTCGTCTCGTGCACTTCACGCGGCTGACGGTCGGTTGGACTCCGGTGTGAAATTATGGAGCCATGTTTCACCCATTGTCCTATATTGATGCATAAATTCGGATTTATTACGATTAAACAGCTTCAAAAACAGCTCAGAATCATCAATTCGATGTTGTTTTTGTCCAATTGGGAGCTAGTGCGGCACCCACTTTGCCTAGAACTTTCCCATACCCAAATATTCATTCACGATATGTTCAACACATTCCTTTGATATCTTTAGAGTCTCAGATGTTTTGATCAACTTCACTTACGGTAATCTAAAATTATTTTGTGGACTTTTTTTATGTTGTCGGTAACAGCCTCTTTGGGGCGACTACTGTGTGCATCGTCAGTGCTCATTTTGCCTCGTTTAAACTTAACTCTCAATGGTTGATTTTCCTGGTACAGAGTCCGAATAATGTTTCCCAAGCCAAGCCTTGGCTTCAAGAGTATTTTTTTCGCTAAAAAGCAATGCTTTAAAAACACACAAAATTCCTTTTTGTCCATTGTTCTTAAACTAACAAAAGTTGCTTCACTAAAAATACTATATCTCACAAACTAATAGTCCGACAGCTGTCAAATTCTGGTCTTTCAAAGGTTAGAACTAACTAAAAATCATATGTATTTAATAATAATAGCCTCCTACGAACTTTTCAGCCCAACTGTGAGCTTATTATTATAGAATATTAACATTATTTTCAAAACGACCAGAATGTGATGGATTGGAAATGATTTATTTTATGTTTGATACATTGAACGATGTAAAAGTTAAACTTCCTTTAATTATTTTTTTAACTGAGTTGATAATTAAGGAAAAATAGCATATCTCTTTGAATTAATCATTTTCACTTATGGAATGCAAATTTCACTTCTATTGGGAATGTCAGTGTATTGAATCTCAGACAATGGCCTGTAATCTTTTTTTCTTCTTTTCTTTAAAAGAAAAAAAATATTTGTCCAAAGAATACTCGGTTGTTGTCCTTCACAAAAAAAAAAGAAAAATCGTGTCAGGAATTCCAGATAATGGCCCTACAACTAAAAAAAAATTAGGATATAGTGGTATTTTTTTAAAATTAAGGGTTATTAGATGATATTTCTTGTTTTGAAGTTTTTCATAATCTATCATTAGTGGAGAACTCATAACCATTTCTATTAGAAAAAATATGATTGTTAAGTGTTCATTTTAAATTTTTTTTTTATAAGCTGATTGTTTTTGTATCTTTATATTCAAAAATTAAGCAAATTACTTTGTGGATAAATTGCAATTTTACATATTTTTATTTATAATTATTTAATATTTATTATAATAAATTATGATTTTTTACCCTAAAATTTTGACAGAAATTGTCAAAACAAAATGGGAGTTTAATTGAGCACTGCTAATTTTTATGTACTGTTATTAATCATTACTACTTCATATTTATAATAGCTAATAATTTTTTATATCAAAATTTTAGTTTAATATTGTTTTTGACAATTGTCGAAAACTATGCTAACCTCAAATTGTCTGCTGTATTTGTTTCCTGCTGGTTATTTCCATATTGGGGCCAACTGCAATTGCCAATCTATACTCTTAGAGTTAGTCGTTCTCTATGATGTTTTTTTAATTTTATTATTTGTTTTTTTTTTTAAAGATTTTTATGGCTCATTGCCTGAAAATTTGAAAACTATTTTGGCACATGTGCTGATAAAGAGATACTCCCATTTTTTCTTTTATTTAAAAGATTTCTCAAACCTAAATATGATTGGATGCGACTATTATTTAGAGGTGTTGAAAATGTTTTCTACTGGCAAAATGTAAGAAAAGTGAGATATAATGCTAAGTGGCAGAAAATATCAATATTAGGGGTATTCTGAATTTCATAAATTTGGCAGAGGTACACCTTCAAAAATATTCTGGATTTTTTTATTTGTTTGATTAAAATATTGCATTTGTCTTTCAGCTATGGCTGGTCTTCTAGCAACTCTTGGGGGTAATCCACTTAATACTCCAGTTGGACAAAAGATTGGTAAGTTCTCAGCATAAATTAATTTTTCAAGTTTTGTGGGAATTAAGTTTATTAGTTGAAAAGAAACAACAAAAAAACTATTATTAGGTTGTTGTTAAGAAGTGATTCCCAGGAAATTAACAATTTTAGGAAATTTAAGCTGAGTATAATCACTAAATTAAATAATGTGTGTAGTACAATATTTTAAAAATCACATAACTGACAGTATATTGCAACTATAAATGAATGTTTCAAAGAAATAATACTGATAAAAAAATGAGTTTTATGAGAATGACATTAAAATTTTCAGGGGTGCCCACCTTCCAACAAAATTAATAAGCAAATACATAATTAATAAGCTATTTTAGTAAATTTAAAAATGTAAAATTTTTAATTTTAACAACTGCAATATTTTAGCGATATCATAATATAATCTATATCACTCAATTATACTACTATTAACTGTTAGTAACATTTTGCAAGGCAAGTGTTCATATAAAAAATCACGTAAAAAATACAGTAAAAAAAGTGCAGGGGAAAAAGTTCCACGAAAAAGAAATATAAGCCCCTTTCAGATTGCAATGAGAACTCACTTGTGAAATTGTAGAGTCACTTTAAAAATTGCATGAATTTAACAACCGATTTTATCTGATGTTTTGCAAATAAATATTTGTTTGAATGTAATTATGTTGAATTCAATGCCAATTGAAACCGGTTGTAGAATTTCAAATGTAACAGAGGGAAAATCACCTGCAGGTATTTTATCCTAAATAATGTATTAAATGTATGTGAAAACAAAAAGTTGTGCAATAATATGCTACTTTAAGGTGCAATGTTTAATTAAATGGCGTGATATTTCCCTGTAACTATTTGTCAAATTTGCAAATTGTCCCCTCTGTTACATTGCATTTTTTGAAGTTAATAAAAATGTGTTAGCAATTTAAAAAGTCTTATAATAATTTATTTTACCTTGAAATGTAATAATTAAAAAAATAAATTACAAATAATGTTTAGGATGTTCCAAATCACAGAATATATTGGAAATAACAGTGCATGTCAAAAATGTGGGATTTTCTTTCTCCCCTCTGTTACAGACCCATTTAATTACCTGGAAATTAAATTATGAGGCTCTTTTATTATTTTATGCCATTTAATTAAACATTGCACCTTAAAGTAGCATATTATTGCACAATTTTTTGTTTTCACATATATTTAATAAATTTTTTAGGATAAAATACATGCGTGATTTCCCCTCTGTTACGCTTGGAATTATACTTATATATTGTAAAAAAAATTAATATACGAATAACCAGAAAATATTTTAAAGAATAACCCACCTCCTGAAAAAATTCCAGTTTTCATTCAATTAAACCACTGGTTATAAAAATTCTTATTACTTATTTTATGTGATTTTAAAGTTGCAAATCTAAGATATGTTTGTTTAGAAAAATGTCTCCTACCAAAAACTCTTTGGGAAATTTCCCCAAATTTCAGAAAACACTCCTTTAAATAATCAAAAATATCTCTTGAATCTTTTTTGCAGTTAAAAAACTACAAAAAAATATCTAAAATAGAAATTATGATGATTTTGAAAATTCAGTAATTTATTATGATATTACGACATGCGAGTTTCAAATCGCACATATAAATAATAAATTTTTGTCATGCTTTGATTTTTGCCAATTTCATCATAAATCCAAGTTACGTTTAGTTTTTTCTAGCATTTATAGCTACCGATTTCAATGTTGTTTTTAAAATACTGATACAGTTATGATATTATGATTCGCGAGTTATAAATCGTTTATTTAATTTATCACTTTTTACCATACTTTTTTTTATGCTGATTTCATTGTAAATCCAAGTTATTTTGCAAATTTTTTTTTTGGCAGTTTCTGCAATGCATCAACATCAAAAATTCCGAATTTAATTATGATGTGTGAATTTTAAATCATGCATTTAAATAATTACATAAAAATTTTTGTTACATTAAAAGTTTTTATACAATTTAATTATTTAATTTCATTCAGACCAACAAAATACATGTGTTATTTATTATAGTTTTGTTGTAAAACATTTCATTCATTTCGTAACATTGATAGATTTTACAGAATTTAAAATGAATTTGTTTCTTCTTACTCTAGAACAAGCCACAGATGCAGCCTTGCCATCAGAAAACTGGGCTTTAAATATGGAGATTTGTGATTTAATTAATGATACAGATGAAGGGTAATTGATAAATTTCTTAACTGAAAATTTAAAAAAAATCAATTTTCTTTTTTTAACAATATCTATATAAAATATTTTTTTGCAGGCCAAAAGATGCTGTGAAAGCTATTAAAAAGAGACTACAACAAAACACAGGAAAAAATTACACTGTAGTTTTATACACTTTAACAGTAAGTATTACAATCGTAGACATTCTTACATGAATAATAAAGAATCATCATTAAAATTTATAAAATGTTTATCATTAAAATTAATTTATCATTTAATTTAACTATTTTTAGTTGCTTAAACTTCGCTTAGTGATTTGTTATTATAGTCAGTATCCGTTTATGAAAAACTATTGTTTTATTAAGTTTTCTATTTATTACAGTAATTAATATATTTTAAAATTTATTTCTTAGAAATAAGTCTAGATTTGTTATTTGATTTTGAATTTAATTTATATTCATATAATGAAATTGCCTAAATAAACTTTTGCTAAATTTTTGTTTGCACTCTCATTGAAATTTACTTTAAATATATTTATATTACTCAAAACTTTTTTTTTTAAAATTTTTTCTTGATTTTTTTATTTCCTATTTTTTTAAAAAATTATTCTTGATTTAAGAAATTAATGAGACTTATGTATCCATTTAATAGGTTTAAATATTTAGAAATCTGGATCTATATAATTGTTTTTAGTAAAAAAAGAGAAAGGTATCTATTCTGTGAAAAATTGTTTTTGCAGTTAGTTTACACTTTACGTGAATAATTTTTTCTTTGTTTTTTCATGATTATAAATGCTATATCTTTAAGTGCTTCAGTGAGGATTAAAATTTCTTTATTTTTTTAACATAGTCATCTTTATCACCTTTTCCTTCACACTTTAAATCAAATATGACAAGCTAATTGAAATAGTAGTAGTGATTGTAATGTAGTAATGACTGTTGCCAATCAAATTAATTCCAGGTTTTACTCTTATTTTTGTTATTGTATGCATAATTTATTGATTCCGTAGTATAAAGCTGCGAGATAACTGTCTTAGTTTTTATGTATAAGTTTGAATAGCTTCATGAGTAACTGGCTTTTTTTTATAAACGTTTTTATTTGCAAATGTAATATGGTGAAATGTGAAATCAGGAAAATAATCTGCAAAGGGGAAAAAAAAAATGTGATTAAAGCATAATTGAAAGTACTGAAATGGGCATACTATAGTTTTGGTTTTATATAGAAGAACTTTTCTCAATGTCTAAACACTGAATAATTATTTGAAACTAAATGATTTTATAAAGTTCTTTGGAATTTTAAAATTTTTTAATATACTTAAATTTTTTTAAAAAGTATTGCTGAAATATGATTTCAAACAATTAAAACAAAATTATTTTTAGGTATTAGAAACTTGCGTTAAAAACTGCTCCAAGCGATTCCATCTTCTTGTCAGCCAGAAAGATTTTATTCTAGAATTAGTAAAGCTTATTGGTCCTAAGAATGACCCACCTACTGCTGTCCAAGAAAAAGTTCTTAGTTTGATTCAGGTAATAATTGTTAAAGCATTCACTGTTATATTTGCACTCACTGTTATATATTATATGTATCTCATAACATATTGATTTTATAACTATGTTTATAACATTACATCTTAAAATTGCCAGACAATAAAGGGCTTTCTGCATTTACTTAAAAGTGTTCTTTTTATCACAAGAAAATTTGAGTTTTCTAATATCCGAAATTAGATTGCGATTTATTCTGTTTGTTTTCTCAGTTAGAAACAGATTCTAATACAAAATAAGATTATTATTTTTATTTTAAGTTTGAAATGTTTAAGAATTCATTTTAGCTTTGAGAATTTTTGTCTTTTTCAATCTTTTTTCTTATTTTTTTGGAATTTTTTTTAAAAAATAAAATTAGTATGGATTTCAAGTGTTTCTCTAGATATCATAAAAATAATAAATTATAGTCCTCTTACAGTTTTGTGTATTCTGATTGGGCAGAAAAGTTACATGTTATGATCATTTATGACAATGCTGAATTAGATACTTTTGGCTGTCATCAGCAAAATAATATTAATTACTATATGTTATAAGATTATTTATTATAAAGATTATTTACCCTTAAATAATTAATTTCCCCCTTATTTTAGGATATTTCCCATCAATGTTTATTTGTTATTACATTATTATTTATTATTTACCATTAATGCTTATTTATTATGTAATATACAAAGCTGTCTGATATTCTATATATATAAAAAAAAAAGAAAAACATTATTCCACTAAAGTTGATAATGGTCTAAATAAGCTGTTCCCAATTTTTCTTCTTCTATGAAACCCTAAATGATCAAAATTCTTTCTGTGGAACCTCGACTTTTATAAATAATAAAGTATATAAAAACAGTATAAAATTCAGTATATAAAAACAGTTTTGAGCATTAAATAACAAAAGGCTACTTTATTTTGAAAATATTAAATTAAAAGAATTATTTTTTCATAGAAAATCTTAAATTAGGTTTCATACCCAACGGTTGAATTTGCACTCCTGGAGTTGTATCTAATTTAGTTTTTAGCCTGGTGCGTATATATATATATATATAATGCTAAAAATATGCCAAAATGATTGTTGGTTTCGTATGGATTTTGAAAGCTATAAAGAGCTACTTTAAACATTGAAAATGGTTATTGGTGAAACATTTTTCTATATTAGCAAATTGAATTATTTTATGTTGATTTGAAAAGCGTGAGAGGAAATATTAATTCAATTTCTCTTAAAATCTCGTCAATTTCTTGTTCTGTATACTATTCAGGTTATTTAATAAATAGTGAAGTAAAAATAAAAGGTTTTTGATGAAAAATGTGTGCCCCAGAATTCTTTATTTACCTGAAATACTAAAACTTTACAGCTAATAAAATCGTATAAAAATGAATGTGAAATGAATATAAAATGTGTTCTCATTATAAAATCACTATAATACATTTTATATCTTATATCTGACATTGTTATATCTATTTTCTGTAACTCAGACCTATCCAAAAGCTTACGTGTTTTCTTCTGTAGCATGATGCATAGAAGGTTGGTTTATCTATGAAAGTGCAATGTTATAATTCTTTAATGATAATTAAATCACTGTATCATGTCAATTGTTTCTTTCAAACAAAGTAACAATACAAAGCAAGAATAAAATAATTTGAATTAAATGTAAGTGGATTATTTCATATTTTGTTAAATACAAAACACCTATTAGCAAAAGCTACTTAAATGTTGTTTCGAATGCCCAGAAAGTTAAAGTACAAAATTATCTGATGTATGAATTATTTTCAACTTTTTTTTTTAAAAATGGTTTTAAGCAAAAAAGGAAAAACAAAAAATTATTGTGAGCATTGAACCTGGTGCAGTTTTAGAAGATTGCCAGCATAGAGATCAAATTTTGTTAAAAACAATAGAAAATCTCATCAATTAGTTATATTCAATCGGTTTCTGCTTTTATTAAGGAAATTTTTTTCTGTACTGTATCCAGAAAAACAAGAAGAAAATGCAAAATAAATAAGAAGAAACCCAGAAAAATAAGCAAAATAAGAAGGGAAATGCAATTTAGAATGTTTACAACTAATTTCTATAATTTAGGGTAATTATAGCTTTTTCTTTTTGTAACCAAAACCTTATCCACTTTTGAATTTTATTTTCAGTTTTTCATTTGTTGTAAATTTTATGAGTTTCTTCTTTAAATCTGGTGATTGCGATGTTTACATTTGAGAAAGGATTAATAAACCAATCTGGTATTACCTTGTGTAAGATATCCTGGTGTCTCTCATTAAACAGCGTGCATAGCATTTTTAAAAAGTGCTTAAAGGTGCTTATTTTCGATTTTCGTATTTTAAAAGTCCTTAAAGGTGCTTTTTTCATAGGGTGTTTTTAAAAAGTGCTTAATTTCCCTTTTCCAAAATTAGATTTTCCCTTTACTTTGTTGATTTTTGCTACGAATTATGCAGAAAGACACTGTTCACACTGTTCTATTCAACGTTTTCACAATTAATTCAACCCCAATCTATTTCTGCTTATCGTCAGTCCGTAGCGTATGAAAACGCCATTCGATTTACACGATTAAAAAATGTTGACAATTGTCAAAAACAATGCCAAAAGTTTTAAAATTTTTTTTTTGACTTGACGGTTAAAACCAGATAAAACCATCAATTGTCAAAAACTTTCCAATCCTACGTAATTGTGTTTTTTTTAAGTGCTTAAAAATATTATTTAAGTGCTTGAAAAGTGCTTCAAAGGTGTTTATTTTTTGTTGAATAATTTGGCTATGCACCCTGCTAAAATCTGTATGAAGAGTATCCAAATATTGACAATAATAATTAAATCTTCCTCACCAATAGAGATCGATAATAAATTTAGAAAGTGGATTTTCTATGCATCATTAAGAAATGAAAAATTATTGCAAACTTATTATGACATTTGTGAGCAAAGACCTCTAGTATTAATATAGTTTTATTTATATTTTATTGCTTTTCATTTTAGAGCTGGGCTGATGCTTTTCAGAATAATCCTGATATGCAAGGAGTTGTGCAAGTGTATCATGATTTGAAACAAAAGGGAATAGAATTTCCCATGACTGATTTGGATACAATGGCCCCAATTCACACTCCACAAAGGGTAAAATATTAATTATTTATATTATTCAATTTATCATATTTTTTTTATAAGTTCTTTATATACAGGATACTAGTTGTAATGTTAATTAACTTTTCTGCTATTTTTTAATTAACTTCCTACTGTTTTTAATTGTTTTACATATTCTGTTATCAATTATAAATCCTGCATTGGCAAAAAAAGTTTTTTTTCCCAATCATTATGAAGTTTTATTAAATTTGGAAAATATATGCTATTTATTAAATTGTATTAAAGATAAGTTGTTGCAGTTTCTAAAAGTGTTAACTTTTTATTGTAAATTTTTTGTTATTAAATTAATTATAAGTTATTAACTAAGTAAAAAATAAGCTTACAGTTCTTATTTTTAAGAACTTTGTCTTTATTTCTTTATTGTTGCAATTAAATGATATGGTTTCTTGTTCATAAGCATTAAAAAAAATTTAAATCCCACTTTGTTATTTTGAGATTTTTTTAAAGTAAATATATTTTTCTAAAATCTTAATATATAGAATTTAAAGTTTAAAGACCATTTTGTTAAAAAATCTCAGGGTTATTCTCAAGTATTTTTAAAAGCTTTTTAAACTCCCCAACTTTTGAGTTTTTATTATTGCACTTTATTGTCAGATTTTATGAACATACCTTTTAAAATTCTTTTGTGCCATCTAATTCAGTTTACAAGGACAATCTTATTTTTCATTTTTCATTTTGGTTTCCAAGTTTAATTTCCCTTAATGGTATGTAACTCTTTAAAAGGCCTAACTGGTTTATCTGAAAGCTAATATCTTCATTGCATTCAGAATATGTTAAATTAGTTTTAATTCCTTTTATCAATTATATAACAATATTACATTATTTTTAATTATATATTATATAACTTAAACATTTATCTATGCATCTATCCATTAAATTAAATTTTTTTTATTTATATTTACACTTATAATAAGTTAAGGCTAAGCTTTTAAGGTTGTTTAATATTTTACTCTTTTAGTTAAATTTGAAACATGTAAATAAAAATTATTGTTAAAGCAAGTTGCTAAGTATTAAGTTTCATTTGGAGCAAATGTACAGTGCGCCAAAAAAAGAACAGGCCAACCTGTATTACTTTTGATCTAATGATTGAATTTTCATGTTCTAGCACTCAGTCTTAATGGCCCGAGGGGGTGATCTCAAATATGTACTTATTTGAACTCACCCCCTCGAGCCATTAAAATTGGGTCCTAGAATGTGAAATTCCGATCATTAGATCAAAAGTTATTCAGGATGGTCTGCTTTTCTTTGTGCACTGTACATATCTCTAATGAGATAAATGGAAGTTTTTATCATAATTTTTTTTTAACGAATACTATTACTTCAGAAGATAAGAGAAGAAATTTAAATGTTTGATTTGCTTTAATTTGGCATTATATAATCATTGAAATATCTTTGGATAAATTATGTTTTTCAAATATGTAATTTTTCTTATTCAATGCTTTTTTTAATCAGATTAATTTATCAGGTCTCACTCTCTTTTTAGAATTTTTTTTAGTCTGGATGATAATGTGACATCATTAGACATTTTAGATATTTTTTTTTTAGTTGAATAATTCTTTTTCAAAGAATGCATTATATTTTCTTTTCTTTAAATATAAATTATATTTTCTTTTCTGTTTTAATAATAGTAATGAATCATATCTGAGCTTGAGCAATACAGAATTTGTCTTTAATAATAATAAAAATAAATAGGAATAATACATTTTTCATAATTGAGTTTGAGTTTTTCCTAGTTGATTTCCATAGCATATGAAAGCGCCAATCCACATGTGCGTCTACTGAGCTGGGATCGGTGAGATTCTTGTACTCTCTTGTGCAACTCTTCTGCATTTTGCAAGATATTCTCATTTTCAGGCTTCATTTTCCACTGTCTGAAGTCGAACAGAAAAATCTCTCGATCTTTTCATGGTGGCTAATATTATCTACAAAAAGTTCTTTGTCAGAGACTAGTTATTTTATCATGATCATGTAAAGTCTTTGAAAATTATTTTGCATTTTATTAATGTATATAGTGCTTAAAAATACTTTTTGAGTGCTTAAAAAGTACTTAAAAAGTGCTTATTTTTTGTTGAAAGATTTTGCTACGCACCCTGTAATTAATATAATTTTTTTTTCAGAATTTACATTCAACAAGAATTGTTCTTAATAATAATGANTTCTGTAGAAAAAAAAATTATTTGCTTTTGCATTTTTTTCAGCTATTTTATTGTTTCAACTCTTTCTTTACTCTGTTTTTTAAATTTAAAATCTAAATATGAAAATGCAGAGTATAGCAGTTTTGGTAATACCTATAATTTCAATTAATGTTATTATAATGCTTTTTTTAATTTATTGTTGCATTTTTGTCCGAGAAAATAGTAACTTTGTTAAGTCATGAAAAACTCTTGGAAATAGTCATGGAAAATCATGAAAAGTCATGAATTTGAAAATCTAAAATGTAGCAGATACCCTGTATAAATTAAATTTTCTTTTCTGTTTTAATAATAGTAATGAATCATATCTGAGCTTGAGCAATGCAGAATTTGTCTTTAATAACAATAAAAATAAATAGGAATAATACATTTTTCATAACTGAGTTTTTTTTAAATCATAGTTTAAAACTCTTGTCATTAACCTGATAAATATTTATTTTATGATTTATTCTCTAACTAATACTTAATAGTTTATTTAGGATACATTTTTTATAGTTTTTTATTATTGTTTCTATAATAATTTAGAGCTTCTTAAAGAGAAGTAATTAGTATAATTTTTTTCTTCAGAATTTACACCCAACAAGTATTGTTCTTAATAATAATGATAATAAGTTAACTATAACTTTTTCAGGATTATTGGGGTTTTTATTATAATTTTGAACTAGTCTATTTAGTCTGATTCATACTTATATTACAATTTATTTTAGGATTAGCACTTAGTAAGAAAATTTATTTAGAATCTTTTTTTTTTCATAAATACTGTTATTTCAACTGTAACTTAGAATTTATTATTAAAAAAAATGCTAAATGCCTTTTAATTCAGAATTTGCACTTAATAAAAAATCACTTGCTTCTATTCAAAACTAGCTGTTATTATAAAAAACATTGATTCCAGAGTGTTCCAACGCCTGCAACATCTTCTGCTGTTCGGCCGTCTTCTGACCAAGTAGCTCACCCAACACCAGTTAGTAAAGCTTTTATTTATTTGATTTATTTTTTTTAATAGTTAAAGGTAGTTGAAAGTGATATTAATTGAAAATTTTATAATGTTGGAGAAATTATTTCTTTATTAATTATAACATATTTTTAATTAATTACTAGGTATTCCAGCCACTACGTTCAAATCCTATGCCAGATGTTTTGCCACCTCAAGCTTTGCCTCTCACTTTGAATCAGGAACAATTAGCCAAACTACGCAGTGAATTAGATATTGTCCAAGGTAACATGAAAGTTTTTGGAGATATGTTAACTGAACTTACTCCTGGTAAAGAACACCCTCAAGATTTGGAACTTTTGCAGGTATAGGATCTTATTTCAGGAGTGTTTTATTCCATACTTAATCAAATATGTTAAACTATTTACTATTAAATAAAGTAGAAAAAAATTTAAACAATCTATAGTTTATTTAAAAAAATTCATGACTTCTCTTGCTTTTATCTCAATGCCATTCAATTATAGTTTCCAGCATAAAGAATTTATTTTATTACTGAGTTTCTTCGGATGTATATTATTCTCTCTATATATAATAAAATAAAGAAATGAATCACACTAAATAATGATGATTTTGTAACCACAATCCTCAAAAATTGCAATAAAATTTAAACTTCAAGCAGTGAGTTTGTTTAACCAAATATAAGGAAAGATCCGCAAGCCACATGAGACGTGCATGATTTCAATTCCATTCTTTTCATTTTTTTTTCTAAAATACCATCACAACAATGTTGCCAAATGCAGCAGAATCAATGTAGAGCTGCGTAATGGGAAGACAAAAAACAATGTGGGACGACGAAGCAGTTAGATCAAAAACGCAAACCTGCTGGTTGCTGCGGACTGTTATTTATTAATAAATCTTTGTTTATTTTAGGAATTACAAAAAACATGTTATGCTATGCAAAGTAGAATTGTGGATCTTATTGACAGGATAGGAGTAGAAGAAATTACGAGTATGTTTTAACCTTTTTAATAGTTTTGTTTACATACTCAAAAATTGTATGTTATTTGTTATAAATGTATACTTTTATTTTTAGAGTATCGTGCTAATGTTGATTTGTTTATATGTGAAATGAAACATGAGTTAAGCATTTTGTGCTATTAATTAGTTAAAAAAAAAGAACAAAGTATGAAACATTTTTCCTAAAGTTTACATTATTACAAATCAAGTTTAGCTTTTCTATTTTTATAAAATTAGTGGAAATAGAGCAATAATTTTAATTAATATTGGGGTACAAAAATTTATTAGTTTTTTTCTGAAAATTTTTGCAATTATTTTATGCTTTAATATTTGGATAATAAATTATTTATATATTGCTAAATAATGTTATTTCAATGTAAAATTTTACTTTCTTATCATTCATGAAATATCTATTTTGAATCAATGTTGAGGCTTAAAATTTCAAATAAAATGTTATGTTTGAATAGCTAATTTGCTCAAATAATATAGGAAAATATTATTTATATCGGAAATTAAAGTTTTAAGTTCTCAACGTACATTAGCACAGACTTTTATATTCTTTTTTACTCTGAATCTGAGCACAGGGCTTCTATCATAGTTTTCTATCTCAATCTATTTGTGGCCAGATATTTTGCCTCTCTACATCTTTCCAATTCGTTTACAATCGTCCTGTGCCGAGTATTTTTAGGTCTTCCTCTTTTTATATTGCCCTGAGGCTTCCAACCAAAACTTGTTTTACTTTAAATTTTTCAGGTTTATGTAGATCATGACCAATCCATTTACGTTTTTTAATTTCCAGATCAATGTTTCTGTTTTGCTTTTTCAAGGATTTTTGTATTACAAAATTTTTGGAACCACTTGATACACAAGATTCTTCTTAAACAGTTGTTAATAAATACTTGAAGATTTTTCATGTTATTTTTATTGCAGTGCCATGTCTCAGATCCATTTAGTAGGACAGATAGGAATTAATGTTGAAAATTCTAATTTTTGTTGAATTTATGTTTTTGTTTTTCACATACATTAAATAGTTCATTTAATTTAGAGATGTATCTATTCCTAACCGCTAATGGTTTTAAAAATATTTAGGCTTATTCTATGTACGTCAATTTGTTTTGAAATATAATGATGGTAATTACTTTCAGTTTATTTTTTATACAAAAAAAAAATGTTTTACTTTTACTCACTTTTATTATTATTGATGCAATGATCCAAACTAAAACAAGGGAGTTATTTTAAATATAATATTTTAACTTAATTTTTTTTTTTTTTTTACAAGCCAAGTCTTTGGTTCATTGATATAGTTGAATAGTTATATAACTTTTCTCCCTTTTTTAAAGTTGGGTTGAAGTTAATTTTAAACCATTTTTTTATTTTTGGTGACAAAATGACAAAATATATTTAGTGCAAGACTTTTTAAAGTTCTTATTATTAAAAAAATTATTTTTGTTGCAAAATTATATACTATAATAGATTTTTTAAAAACTAAGCTTGTTTTCCCTTTTTTTTTAAATGCTTGTTAGAGGTAAGCTATTAATCTTCCATTTATATTAAACATGTAATGTATCTTTTATAATTCACTTTTTTAAATTTTTGACTACTTATATTTCAGTAAATAATTTTAACAGTAAAATTCAATTTAATCCTTAATCATAAAATTACCTTTTTGCTTATATGCTCACTGTTTTATATTTATGAACATATAATTCTTAACACATTTAAGTATCCTGCTTGCAAATGAAAAAGAAAAGTATTGATACTGCCTTTACAGGGCATGAAAGGATTATTAGGTTCAAAAATAACAAAACAACCTTTTATGATTGAGTAATATATATTTTATTATTTGAAATTGTTCAGGATAATACATTTTTATATGTCAAGTACTTTATGATCAAAAAATCTTTTTTAATTAAACATTTAAAAAAAAAATTGTTTTTTTAAATTTGTCACTTCGAAATTTTGAACATAAAACAGTGGGATATGTTTAATTTTTATGTAATCTTATAAAAGTATTTTCCATAACTTTTCCGAGCAAAAAAATATTTTTTCGGGTTAAAGTAAAGTTTTAAAAATTCTATATTTTTTTAATATCATTTAATTTTTCAGTATATTTAGTATGTTTTGTTTTTATTGAAATTTATTGTTGAACATTCTGAGTATTATTGAAATTATGAGCAGATGTTTTTAATGTTATAGTTTTATTTGTATTGTTGTTTTATAACAGAAACTCATTCTATTTTTTTCTGTAAAGTTAACATAATTTCTGTTTCTTTTAGGTGACTTACTTAGAATTAATGATGAACTTAACAATTTATTTCTTCGTTATGATCGTTATGACAAGAAACGCACAGCCATGACATCAAATGTTGAGCACAAGTTACCTCCACCCCCGAGTGCTGAGGTAAAATTAAAATGTTCAATAAAAAAATTAATTTTATTTAGTGATGTAATGTAATTTGTTATCTTATCATTAGCTTAATACTTATACATTGGATGGTTACCATGCAAAGCCTTGAGAAAATTTCCAAGCTTCTTCATCCATGCATTAGCTTGGTTATTTATTTGATCCTAATTGACTTGTATTTTTCTGCCATTCAGTTGACACAAATGATGGAAAATATGGGTAAAGAAACATGTGAATGCAGCAAAAATTACTCAAACAGAATGGATTTATAAATTTCTCTTGCAATTGCTGAAAATAAATTTGTCTTAAGAACTGAATGCAGCAAAAATTACTCAAACAGAATGGATTTATAAATTTCTCTTGCAATTGCTGAAAATAAATTTGTCTTAAGAACTTGTTAGAATTTCTGCCTGGTACTTAGCTGACGAATAGACCGTAAATTTTTTTTATTTAATATAAATGGGATCTTTGAATCATCCAATCAGTTTGTTTTTAGTGTATAATATTTTGTTGCAGGATAAAAAATATTTTTATTTATGATTATGAAAAAAAAAAAAAAACTAAAAAATTTTAAGGAAATTATTCTTTTAGATTGTTTTCAAAAAGTAAAGCAATTTTGGATAACTTATATTTAGATTTGAATTTTAGATATTAGATCTACTATATTTCATAAAATTAATTTGGTACAGTAGAAAACCATTTATTCGGCATCGAGAAAACAGGGAAAAATTTTGCTCAGTTTTCCGCCATTTTGAACTAGAACGATTGTGGAATAAAATGAAAATTTGACTCATCAAAGGAAACAATATTTTCCAATTGAACAAATTTTGATTCTTTAGAATTACGAAAACATTTGCAGGTTTTTCTTGGTGTGGAATCACATCTGCTTTCATGAAAAATTGTCTGCTTTTATTAAAAAAATAAATGGAGAAGTTTGTTTATTATTCTAAGTATGCAATTATTTATTACTGATAACAGACATTATTTCATGAATAGATTGCAGTTTTTTTTAAAAGTATAAAGTATAAAGATACATTTCTGATTCCACAAAGTTTTGAGTGTTTCTCCCCCTCCCCCCATTTACAAAAAAATTTGTGCTCAATAAATTTTAAGATTAAGTTTTTAAAAAAAATTCAGGTCTTATAATGTCCTGCCTTTCCGAGGTTTTAATATTTATATTAGTGCCTTTTTTAACTATCGTTTCCGTTTGATAATTTTCAAGTGTTGTTTTTATTTAGTTTAATAAGTTTTCCTTTTATTGTATCATTTTCTTTTTTCCTTGTAATTTGGTATGAATTATAATGCGTTTTCTAATCATTGGTTTTGTTTATATAAATTAATTTTGGTGATTTTAATCAATCTTCAAGAAATAAATATGTGAATTTTGCATTTTTTAAATTTATTTTTCTTGTCTAAACTTGTAAATGTTTTTATTCTTTTGAATGTTATTTTTCTACCATTTTTTTTTTGAATTTAGGAGAGCTTTTCTTATTTTTTCTTATTTTAAAATGTGTTACTCTTTTTCATTGAATTTTGGGTTCAATAAAACATGGATTAATGGCACCTTTTTACCTGATCCGGAAAACCGGTAAATTCAGGCATCCGGGATAGTGATGGTCCCGAGCATCCTAGATAATTTGTTCTTTACTGCATTTCATTATGTGAATAATATATCCTGTTTTATTTTTATTCATTAGAATCCTATAGATAAGCCACTAATAGATTTTGGTGAAGCTTTCGAAGATGGGGATACAGCTGCAAAACTTTCAAATTTGAGTAAGAGAATAATTATTATGTAATTTGTACTTGAAAACTATTTTTTAGTCTATTTCAGTCAAACTTGCTTATAAAGAGCCCTGAGTTACTCTGAATCTGGATTTAATAAAGAATTAGGAAATACTTATTTGGTACTAATTGAAGCATTGCTCTTATTAAATGAGCAAAACCTTGTTTTAGAGAGCAATATTTTTGTGATTTATAAAATTTCTATGTATTTCCATCAGTTCAGATAATTCCTTTTTCGTAAAATTCCTTTAAGATTTCAAAGACATCGAACTGAAAGTGATAAATCATTAGGCTAGCCAACACATTAACTTTTTTTCTAAAGCAGGGGTGTAAAATGACAATGTTTTTTGGGCCGTGAATCTTATCCGAAGAACAATAACTCCACAAAGCGATATTAAGACAGCTCAAAGCAAACTAACTTCTGTTGTACTGTGCAGAAATAAGAAACGAAGAAAGTATAACATTTTTAATTTAATATGTAATTATGCACTGTAATAATTTTTGCACAAACTCATTCTTTCCAAGCATTTGAATATAACGAATAAATATTGTTGACTTTTTGCACTCTTCATAAGCGAGTTCGACCGTATATTAATTTTAGTATGTATAAGTTATATTATTAGTTCACAATTTAATTCTTGTATTAAAAAATTTATTTAGCAGAATTTGCAAATGTATGGTCGTTTAAAATTATACATTGGTTAAATTTGAATTTTAAACAATGACACTAAAAAAATGGAATGTATCCCTATACAGTTAAACTTGCAATTAACAGACAAATTCTTAATTTTTTGATCTTTGTGGTGTTTTCTCAATTCTGCCTTTTTTTAAAATTTTGACGAGGAAAAAGTTTAGAGATATTTTAAAAAGGAATCTCAGCAATTTTCCTAAAAAATAATCTGCTGTGCCATACCCACTTCCATGCTAAAGGGTTTCTGCTACTTGGAATACTATTTACATTTGTTTAACTCTATGTAGTAGCTCATTAATTCCTATAAAAGAAACATTTTATTAACAAGTAATGACTTTCTATTGATTTTTTTTCTAAAGGTAAAATAGAAAAAGTACAGATAAACTCAGGAGTCAGATTATTAAAACATTTGTTTGGAAAAAATATCAAAACAATTATAAGATATTTAAAAAAAAATACTAAGTCCTGCATTAGTGAATGAAATATGAAGTTGCCTGCAATGTGATAAGCGTTTCACACCAGCCATTTTTACTCTACTCTATAATCATTGAAGATGACACTTTCAGATTTAAATTTAAAAAAAAAAAAAAAAATTCTGAAGAAATATTTGGAGGACTATTTTAGAGATGCTTAGGCCATGGCATTTCTCATATTTATCAATGAAGTTTAAAACTTTCAGAGGTGAAAGAGACTAGCAATAAATGACGAACGAAAAAAGTGTTTAAGAAACACCCTCTGTCAGAAAATATAGCAATAAATTTGTAACTTGTATTGCTTACTTTGGTTATTGCAATAATGCAATACATGTAATAATTCCATAAAATTTAATGAGCCGAACTTAAATATTTATGAAAATGTAGATATTTGTATAACGAACTATTTATTAAAAAAAATATTTTGTTTTACATTTTTTTTGCTATACTTTTAGAAATATTCAATAAATGTAAACAAAATTTTTGGAGCAATTTTTGATTAATTATAAAATTATTATTTTAAAAAGAACAATATGTTAAAAATTAGGCAAGGCATGAGCATTTAAAGTAATTCTTTCATGTTTTGCATTAAAAAAAAAACATTAAATTTTTTTCCCTTCATAATTTTGTAGTGAATTGTATTTAGTAACTAATGAAAAAAGTCCAATTTGAAATTTTGAACATTTAAGAAATTTCTTGCAATTTTCTTAGTAGTTTTTGTACATTTTTAAAGAAAGCTCTTAATGATGATATATTTTCTACAAATGTCAATTTGTACTAAGTTTGTTTAACAAAATTTCTTAAAAAACAGGATTCTTGCTGTCCTAAAATGTCCTAAAAAAGTGCTAAAATTTTCCCCAAACTTTTTTAGGGCCTAAAAAGTGCTAAAATTTCTTCTGAGTGCTAAAAAAGTGCGGATTCCTTAAATCGGTTTCCTTAAATTCTGTTGCCTTCAGCTCTCCTGCTGCCTCCATCTTTTTAGAAGATTCTTGGGCTTTGGGGAAAGAAATTCTTTCTTCTGAGATTTTATGGGCTTTAAAAGTTGTAGAAAGCTACTACTCCTACAATTCTTCCAAAGACACTGGAAAATTATTTAGTACAATGTTTCCAGACAGTTCAATAGCACGTCATTTCGCCTGCAGTGAATCTAAGTGTGCATATCTCTGTCATTTTGGACTTGCACCTCATTTTAGCATGCTACTTCTGAAGTGCATTGATAATGCCAAGTTTTATACATTGCTTTTTGATGAGTCTTTGAACAAAGCGACCCAGCAGAAGCAGTTGGATTTACATATCCACTTTTGGAACCCAGATAAGAACATTGTAGAGACGCTATACTTAACATCAGCTTTTCTGGGCCATTCAGCAGCAGATGACCTTTTATCCTGTTTTTATGCATCAGTCAAAAATGTAGACCTGAAGAAATTATTGCAGATTTCTATGGATAGTCCTGCTGTCAATTGGAAAATTTATAATAATCAAGAAGATTTGTGAAAAGAACATGGTGTTCAATGCAATGCAATAGGAAGTTGTGGGCTTCATATTTTAAATAACGCATTCTACAAAGGTGAATCTGAAACAGAATGGCTCATTGGTTCCATCCTGAGCTTTATCTTCTATCTTTTTAAAGATTCACCCACAAGAAAAGATTTTATTAATCAATCAAACGAGAACAAATTACCACTAAAATTTTGTAACCACGGTTGGCTGGAAAATGCACCTGCAGCTGAAAGAGCAATATTGCTTTGGAATGATCTGAAATCTTATGTGAAAAATGTTGGCAAGTTTAGAAAAAAGAAATGTAAATCTTTTTCAACTTTACAAGAAGCAATAAAAGACAAATTAATTCTTATTAAGCTGAACTTTTTCTTAAATGTGTCGGAGATAGTTTCACCATTTTTGAAACTGTATCAAGCAGATCGGCCACTTTTACCATTTTTTGCTGCAGATATACAGGATTTGGTATTACATAGTGTGCAATTATATAACATTCTGAAGCCAGAATCTATAGAAAACTTAAATTCTCTGGAGAAACTGTGCCATTTTAATTTTTGTGATGAAAAGAATTATGTCTCTCTGACAAAAATCAGTGTAGGTTTTAAAGGTGACCAAATTTTAAAGCAGCTGTTGCCCTCAAAAGTTATTTCTGACCGGGATCATATGAATATAAAGAAAGATTGCCGAAAGTTTATCACCAAAATGTTAGAAACTTTACTTGAGAAATGTCCAATAAACTATTCTGTTGTCAGATATGTTAATGTTGCTTGCATCAATCCAAAATTAATGTCAGAAAACAAAAGCAAGTGTGTTTTAAAAATGAGAAACATATTAAATTACTTAAGTCAAAAAAAAGAAAATCGAGGAAAAAGATTGTGACAAAATTAAGCTGCAATTTGCATCATGTATAGATTAATTATGTAATTTTTACTTCATGAATCGTGAAACACTTTATTTGTATATTTTTAATATCATGTATAGATTAAGTATGTTATTTTTACTTTACATCAAGTGCTAATTTTTTTTCCATAGTCCTAAAAAAGTCCTAATTTTTTTTTGAAATAATTGAGCAAGAACCCTGAAAAAGACTCCATTATGGGGAATCATCCCCCATAAAAGTATGTTTTCTTTTTTTATACCATTATGTTTTAATGTATAGATGATTTTTCTAAGGTATCATTTGCTATTGAATTTCATCTTCTTATTATACAAAATGAAATTTGCAGAAAATCCCTTACCATTCTGAGCTTTTTTTTCTTCAAAATTTACCAAAACTACTTAGAAAATGACTTTAAATTTTTAAGATAGTCAAATCACACTTTTACCAAATACGATTCACTGCAAAATTTATAAAAAAACCTTTTAAAATGTTTTCAACACATGCTCAGTATGAAAAAACTACTTTAAATGATATCTTGCTTAATTTGTAAAAAAACTTTTTCGAATATTTTTAAAGTTATAGCAAAAAACATTAAACAAAAAAATTAGTCTTTTATGAAAATGTCTGTATCCTCATAAATATTTAAGCTAGGCCTTCGATAGTCACAGATACAAGTTACAAATTTATTGCTATATTTTCTGACAGAGTGTTCAAAAGCACTTATTTTCTTTCGTAATTTATTACCGATCCCTTAAAACTCCTGAAAGCAAAAAGTTTTATTCATAAGTATGAGAAATCACATGAGCTATACACCTATAAAGTTATAAAATAATCCTTTAAGTATTTCTTGAGAAATTTAAAATAATGCTAAAAACTAAAAGTGTTTCTTCATTTATTGTTGGGTAGAATATATCCCGAGCAAGGTAATACCCACCCATTTGAAATTAGGTTGGGTACCAGCTTCAAGCCATCCCAGGCGATCAAACCTTGATCCTTAACAGTTAATAATCAGTGCCTTAACCACTGTGCAATGTGTTTGGTATATTTTGATTTATTATTGTATGTGATTGAATGTATATTTAAACTCATTCATGTATATTTAGTTTAAAATTAATCATTAGTTATCACTTTAAGACCTTTATAAATCAAAAAGTATTTTTAGTTCTGTTAAAAATAAATAAACTAAATGAGAAATATAATGATAATGAATAGAAAATAAATACATTATTGTGATACTGCTTTTAATCTATGACTTTCATCTCCGAATTCTAGACTTGCAAGATTCAGCAGCGTCTGCCTCCAATGAACAAAAAAGTAGCTCTCTAGCTGATGAATTTGACATGTTTGCACAAGCAAGGACTTCATCTTTTGACTCTAGTAAAACAAAGTAAATATTTTTTAAATATTTTTTAAAGTCCTCAGTAGTTTTAAAGTTAACCCTTTGATGGTCCTGTGCGTAGAAAACTATATTGTTTAAAAGTAGAGATTTTTAGTTCATTTCATTTTTAAATTGTATGTCTCTAAATATGAAATATTTAGTAGTTTTACTTAATGTCAATATTTATTAGATGCGTCATAAATAAAAATCGACATTTACTTACTGTTGCCTGCAATGTGGAAATAACAGGTGAGATTCTATCTCATTTAAGAAATTACTGTATAACATGGTGCGTAGCATTTTTGAAAAGTGCTTAAAGGTGCTTATTTTCGAATTTTGTTTTTTAAAAGCCCTTAAAGGTGCTTTTTTTATTGGGTGTTTTTAAAAAGTGCTTAATTTTCCATTTTCGAAAATATTTTTTTCTTAACCATGTCTATTTTCGCCCCATATTATGCAAAAGAGTGCTTTTCACATTGTTTTATTCAATGTTTTTACCACATTCAACGACAATCCATTTCGGCTTACCGTTGGTCGGTAGCGTATGAAAGCGCTAATCGTTTTACATGTTTGATTAAATACTTGCGAGTCCGCGTGTGAGCCTACTGAGCTGGATTTGGTGAGATTCTTTGCTCTCTAATGTGCAACTCTGCTGCATTTTGCAAGATATTCTCAATTTCAGGATTCTTTTTCCACCCTCTGATATCGAACTAAAAAATCTCTTGATCATTTTATAATAGCTAATATAATTAAAAAAATATTTCTTTGTCAGAAACTAGTTATTTTATCATAATCATGTAAATTCTTTGAAAATTATTTTGCATATTGTTAATGTATATAGTGCTTAAAAATATTTTTGAGTGCTTAAAAAGTGCTTAAAAGGTACTTATTTTTTGTTGAAAGATTTGGCTACGTACCCTGTATAAATATAAAAATCAATAGCTTAAGTATGTAATTTATGATATTCTGATATAGTGTTCGAAATTATATTCTTAATGTAAGTTAATATATGTAAGTGTAATATATCTTCTTAACGTAAGTTATATGTTTACTCTTATATTAAAGTTATTTTACATTCTTTCACTATCTTCCAACATTCTCAATATAGAGTTGCTTAACAACATGCTCAGTATATATATTTTTTTCTTTCTTTCTTCATAATGCTGAAATTCATATAATGATTGTTCTAATTTATATTGCTTGCTATTTAATGAACATGTATATGATTGTTTTTTTTCTATTTTTTTTTTACCCTTCTTTTTTTTTTTAACCCTTTACCCTTCTGTTAACAAATAATATGCTTTATACTTATTTCATTTGATGTTGATTAGCAATAAATTTTTAAACGAGCCCTCTAAATGATTACCTCCTAAATTTTTATTGTTGATTTTGTAACTTTTGTGAATTATTTCAACTTCTTAATATTTTTGGTGTATTCTGAAAATAGAAAATTCACGTTAAAATAAGAAAGCTAGAGTGTAAACCATGAATTTGTTTTATTAAATCATTCTTTTTTTTTTAATTGTGCCAAAATGATTAACCTATTACAGTATTTCTCAAACATTGCTAAGAGAGAAAGAAATTTAGATCATTCTTTCTTTATAAGAATTTTTTTTCTTCGAAGGTTCATTGATTATTATATTATTATTGATGATATTGATGATATTCATTGATTATTAATTCGTATATTCATTGATTAATAATTTATACATTCATATATTCATTGATTAATAATTTATACATTCATATATTCATTGATTAATAATTAATTAAATTATAGATATTCATTGATTATTAAGTATCCTATATATTTTTAGGGGTAGTACATATGAAGATAATACTAATCCAAATCAAGTTGAAGGAAGTCTTGCATCTTTTGCAGCAAATAAAGGCAGACCAATGGTATTATTTGTTATAATTTATATTTAGATTAATTTGAAAGTGACAGTTATGCCAAAAAATCACTATTTAACACTTAAGTTTTAATAGTGTTTTTTATGTCCTAATAGCTTTTTAATAGTATTTCTTATGCTCTATGAGGTACTCAATATTTTTTTCAAATTTGAAAGATTTAAAGCCTCAATCCATAACTCGTTCTTTCACTAAAATATTTTCGATGTTTAAAAAATGTACTCAATATCATATAAAAATGTAGTTATATTTCTAATTTATTTATTTACCTGTGAAAACTTAGCATTATCAAGTTTGCTAGATATTTTTTGAAAGTATATGACTATAAAATTTAAAAATTAAATGTCTGTCAAAACTATAAACAATTTAAGGGAGACTATTTTGTATGGAAAGTAACATGTTTTTAAGATTCATATAGGTTTCTTTATCAAATTCTATCAACATATCTCTGTTTGACACTTCTAAGTATTACTTTAAAACATTCCATCATCGTAGTCTGGGAAAGATAGCCTTCAAGTTTGTTTAAGTATTATATGTTATGACCAATATATTTTTATTTTATCATTGAATATTTGGCCAAAATACTTGTTTAAATGTAATTGCGAAGTTTAGTAAAGCTTTAAACATCTTATTTTAGGAGGGTTTTATGCTTCAGGTAAATACAGTTTCCATGACCTTAAGGCATCCATGTGGTCTTTCTTCCTTTTATTTTGTTTTCTTCCATTCCATTATATTAACAGGCTTAGTTTATAAAATTATTTAACACAGTATAGCTGCCTCTGGCTCTTGTGCCACTAATTTCTACTTAAAATCATGTTCATGACCACATTATATACTGTGTGTATTTCAAATAAACATGTAATTATGTCTTATATTGTTTGAAGCTAAAAGCTGTTTAAATTATATTTTTCAGGAAAGTGGGGATTTAGGATCTTCAAATGTTCCTGCAAGCAATGGTAAGTTTGCCTTTATGTTATGAGTTATTTGTTTGGAAAAACTCAAATCTTAGTTTCACTTTAGGAGTTATTTTTATTCATAATGAGATGAGTTAGAGAATTAGAAAACGTAACGTAATTACTGTAATAATCTTAAATTAAAATAATTTGCTTGTTTTAATATTATTTCTACAAATTTAAAAAGTTATAAGCATTTGAGTTATTTGTTTGAGGCGTAGGCTCCCAACGTGGGTGCTATCGTCTCCAAAGCAGTAAAGACTTTTAGGGGGCCTTAGCAAGATAATAGGTATTTTAGGAGTGTTGTGTATTTCTAGAGTTTTATAAGTAACTGAAGATGAAATTAGTATTGACTATACAGTAAAATTCATAAATGTTTTAGTATGGTATGGTAAAATTATTTATATTTATAACTTAGCTTTCATTAAAGCAGTTAAGTCATTAAAATTGTTTTTTTTAATACTTTTTAATCAGGAGAAGGAATGTAATACCCACATTAAAATTTTACCATTGAAAGGTGTCATGATCTTTATGTGAATTGAAAACTTGCGCCCCTGTGACTTCCCTAAATTTTGCCTGAAAGGCTGAAGGCTATGTGTTTATTAAAATTAATATTTAATTTTTTTTCTTCAAAAAAGAGTATTATACACAAATTTTTAAAGCATGTAAGTTTTTGTTTACTTTTCTCTTATTTTTAACTCCTTTTATAAAGAAACTTGAAATCTATCATTAAGTTAATTTATTTCTATAATTTATTATCTTTTTGTTTTATAATTTAAAGAGATATTATCAGAACATAATTAATATAGGATTTTTGTCATGTATCTTCTATAACTATGTTTTCTATGATTTTAAGTTTTTAAGATATACCTAGTGGCTAGTACATTTATATTGTGTTTCCAATATAAGTGTTCTGATCAATAGGTATATTTTCAATAACTTAATGACATATTGTTTCAGATGTGTAACATAACAAAAATATTAAGATATCTAATAGCACAAACAATTTTATAGATTAATTATTTATTAATGCTTCTTTTCTTTCTAATTTTTTTGATAATGGGCAGTAATTTAAAATTGTTTAGGAACCTATGATTTAGGAACATTGAAATTCGACTATTTTTTCTGATATATTTCATGTTGAAGAAGGAATTGCATAAGCAATCCCTTGAAATGTTTCTGTTATGATGTTTTTATAGCGTAAAGTAAAAACAATTATAGTCAACTATTGGCATAATGCTATGTAATTGGTTAAAAAGTCAAAATTCTTATCAAAGAACACTGTCAAACTTTTTAAAAATCGACAAAAAGTTGCTTTCTTTAAACCAGGGGTGTCAAACTCAAAAGCTAACTTGGGCCAAATAAACAATGCTTAACNAAAAAAAAAAAAAAAAAAAAAAAAAAAAAAAAAAAAAAAAAAAAAAAAAAATCAATGTTCATGGAATCTAATATTTTTATTTTGAATTGTAATAAACATATAGTTAAATTATTGTTTACGTCGTGATACTTGACATTTCTTCTCTGCTATTATCTTTTCTATTTCGGGAGAAATTTTATTGGCCGAGACTACTTTCAAAATTGACCCAACGTGAGCGTTATTAATACGGTTTTGGACAGGAGATTTATTTCCATTCATAACAGAAAATAATTGCTCTCACTGATAAGTACTTCCAAATATGGAAATAATTTCATACGCGAATTTTCGAGTATTTTCATACCTTACAGGTAAATATGCGTGAAATTCACCCACACCCACTTCAATGAATTGTGCCTTCAAATTTGAGTCGCACTGAATCTGAAGAAAACAAACAAAATTTGTCTTCCAAAGAATTAAAATTTTTAAACCTTGTTTCAAATTCTGTTCTAAGATTTGAAATTTTTTTCTGCGTATTTTTGGATACGATGCAGTATCATCTAAACTACATTGGTTCTTGTTGCACGTTGGGAAGTGCGTTAAATCTTCATTTTTCAGTTGCCTTTCCCAAAGAAATAGTTTACATTTGAATGCTTTTTTAATTATGTCAAACATGTTCAAAATGATCTGATCCTTGCCTTATAACAATAAATTTAAATCGGATAAGTGTTTGGTTATATCAACCATAAAAGATAAATCTTGCAACCATATTTGATCGGAGAACAAGCTTGTATCTCGGTTTATAGTTTGTAAACTTACATATTTTTTCTTTCAAATCCCAGAATTGATTGAGACCTTGGAGCAAAATAAGCAACTACCTCCCTATAATAGGATAAACCTGATTATGTACTATCTAATTGATAGCTTAGTGTGAAACGGACTCCATTTCAGCCAATTAGAATTTTACATTTTCGCTTGGACAATTTAAAATGATCCGTATAGTTTATAAATTAAGTATATTATAATTTTATATGCTGGTTTCGTTTCTAATTCACATTTCTATTTTATTTTTACTTTGCATCGGATATATTGACTGGGCCACAAAAATGTTCAACTCGGGCCGCGAGTTTGAAACCCCTGCTTTAAGCCAATGCCATTGGTTAAGTATAAAATTACTTAAGGGATGTCCTTAAACAGGGCGCGTAGCGTTTGTAAAAAGTACTTAAAGGTGCTTTTTTGGGGATTTCGTTTTTAAAAGCTTTTAAAGGTGCTTTTTTTAGCTGGTGTTTTTAAAAAGTGCTTTATTTCCACAATTAATTTTTTTCTTCTTCAGTGATATCTGATGGATCCCATGCATTTCACGAAAAATGGGGTGTTTGCTACATAATCATTCACGTGGACTTCATGTCGTACCCACGTTATGACTTGCGCATGCGCGCACACTTAAACCGAAACCCGAGTGCTCAAATTCGGATAGAGAATATCAGATCCTTATGAAATGTTTTTCTTTTTAATTTAATTTAATTTTATTCTTGTTTATTTTATTTTACTTCTAACACTTTTTTGACGTAGGGGGTAAGGGTACTTTTGTTCTGAGTTCAGGGTCAAGTTGAATTCACTCGGTGATGTGGGAAAGTACTGATTGTTTTGATTTACGTCCGTTTCTTTTTGGGTTTTTTTTAACGTTAAAACTCTTTATAAAAAGTTTTTGTTTTTCAATAATATCATTGATTGAATATGAATTTTTTGAGTGCTTGAAATTTTTTGTAAAGTGCTTGAAAAGTTTTTAAAAAGTGCTTATTTTTGATTCAAAGATTTGGCTACGCACCCTGTTAAATCATATGATTGGATTAAATAGTTGCTGTAAGTGCTCAGTGCTCCCCAACCTTTTTATTGTCACTGCCCAATTAGAATTTTTTAAATTTTCAGTATGGCTTGGTTGCCTTCACTGCATTGGCAATTTATTATATAAATTTAACAATGAATGATAAAAAAATATTTTAAGTGTGACTATATTGAGTACATCAGAATATTTAATCTTCCAAGAACAGGTAAAAGTTTAAAGGCATCGATTGGAGATTAAACCTTTTTGTGAAATGTGTGGCAAACCCTGAATTCATATAAAAGTTCAAAACAATGAATCCTATAGAATATCAGATGCTCTTTAGTAAATAAAAAAAAAAAAAAATTCTTATTGATAATTTTTGCAAAAAAAAANAAAAAAAAAAAAAAAAGAAAAGAAAAGAAGACTGGATATAATATAAATTTTAAATTATTGTAATATTAATGTTAACATAATATGGTGTTCTTACCATATTTTTTCATTCTGCCTACTTGATTTCTAAAATATCTTAAAGCAAAAATTTTTTTTTAACAAAAAAGTATTTTTTGAACATTAACAAAATTAGAATATTAACAAAAAGCTTATTTTGTGAGAAGTGTATTTAAATTTCCACATAAAAGTCTGATTTTTTTTAGTGCATGGTTAATTTTTCAAAGGGTGTAATAGATCCAATGACTTTAACCATGTCAACTTAGATAAAGAAATAGCAATGCCATGTAAGACATATGAATGTACTCATTTGGATTTTCAAGGATGAAATAGTTCATTAAAATAAAGCCGTTTATTGCATTATTTTAAGTTGCATACTTAAAAACTATGTTGAAAGTTTTAATATTAGTTCTTTCATAATATCTTTAGTTTTTAATACCTTTAGTTGGCTTAGTAGGAACTGATATTAACTTATAAAAGTTTTAATCTAATTAACTCATGTAATTTTATGTGTAATTTTAATCTAAATGTAATTTATTCTGAATTAACTCACTATTTTTATTTTTTAAATTTCTCATATAAACCTTTGAAATATTAAATAAATAGAACCATTTAATTTATAATTATTCAAAATGAGTTAATAGATTTTCAACCCATTTTTCTATCTTTTTTTTTTACTGAACACAATTTGAACTGAAAAGTTGCAAGCTTAACATTTTAACTTTTTGCTTTTTACTTATGTTCTTGTTCTAGGATTTTAATGAGAGAACTAAAACAAAATTTTTACCTTTAGATTTTGCCAACTTTCACAACTCACGTACAACTGGGCTTTCCGCAGGAGCAACTGGAGCTTCATCCCAATCAAATGCTGTAAACAATCGACGTCAGATGGATAAAGATGACAATGATGGCGCTCTTTTTGCTTTATAGAACAATTTCTAATCATTAGAAATTGACAACTTATGTACAGCACTGGTTTATATATATTTGAAGCTTTCAACTTTATATTGAGCATATTTAAACTTGTCTTTGTCAAAAATACTTGTAAAATATATTTTCAAAATCTGTTCTTTCTTTATCCAAGTTAGCATTATTGTATAAATCTTTATATTTTTCTTGTTTTAGTGTGCAAGTTAAAATATAAATGTAGTTAATTTTTTTAAAGTATTACTTAATTTTATATTTATGCAAATAATATGAGTTCCTGGAATAAATATGTATTTAGATATTTTTAACAGTTGTTATTTTGAACTCTATACATAATATATATTTATATATTTTTCTTACATTGACTTCATGTTTTTATTGTTGAATTTGGTGTGTAAATTTCCTTATTTGTAATTTTTCATTTTCATAACTACAAATTATATCTAGTCTGAGTAAAATTTTTATTGCCCCTTATTCTGGGAGAAATGCGACAAATTTTCAGGTAAAAAAAAATAGATTGCCATATTTCTGTTATTGCCAATATTCTGTATTATTTCCTAGTCAATATATTCTAAGTTCTTAAATTAACCTTAACAATAAAGTCAATTTTTGATGCTGATTTTGACTTATATTGTATGCGACAAAAGACTACAAATTGAATTTATACCTATTTATTTTTAAGAAAGTATATTATTATGTTTAGTTTCAGTCGTTGCTTTTTTGCCGCATTGTTGATTGCTTGTTTCGTTCAGTTAGAAACTAAGAAATTGTTTGTTACTTTTTATTATTTCAGTGAATTTTCATTTTTATTAATTTTTTGCCTAAGTGCCATGTGACGTATTGTCTATGGACAATACTTAATACAATACAGCTTGGTGACATGTTTACTTGAGTTTTGTAACTATTTAGCTTAATAAGTTGCATTACATAAGTAAATTTTCATTGTTTTTATTTTTCGGCTTAAATGCTTATCTATGACATAAAGATTATGATATTGACCTAATTGTGTAATATGTTTTAATGAATCCATTGCGTACATATCAAGCACAATTTTATTTTCTTGCAACTTCCAATGTTGCTGTGCTACTTCTTGAAAATTTCTAGAATTTTTTTGATGTATAATATAAATATGATATTCAATATACAATATAAGCGAGTCAAAGCTATGTGGATTTTAATTTGAAAGTTTACAAATGATTTTAGTTGTGGGATAGTTTACAAATATGAAGTTTATATTGATACTTATATCATTTAATTAAGAATATATTTAAAACATTTCCTTCATTGTATTGTTGTAGTTTCAAAATTAGAATCATACGAACAAATTTGAGAGTTCATAAATGAAAATTATTTGGAAGGTAACATCTGATTTTTTGTAAAATAATATGAACCATAAGTTTTTTTTCTCAAATCTTTTTTTTATTTATTTATTCCTTACAAGTTTCTTTGTATTCATACATAGTTTCCTTTCAGTGTTAATGGGACATTCAATTAGTTATGGCCATCAGACCTTAGTTTCTGAATAACCCGCATATAAAATACAAATTTTGAAATAGTAAACTCACTTAAAATATGACAAGCTTATCCTAATATTATTTCAATTCGTTCTATATTATGTCTAAAACTTTTTTATTAAACTCATTGTTGTATTATGTTTGAAGCATTTAGTTTTTTTTTTTACTTTAAGAGGGAAATGCTTTTATTTTGTTAGAACTTTCAATTTTCTAGTACTTCAGCTTAATAGAAAATTTAGATCATTGCTCAAGTTTGTTTTATTTTTTTTACTGTTAATTATTGGGATTGCTTTTAAATGATAAAATATATAGCTTTGTATGTGATAACTATTCCAGTTGTAGAATAAAAATAAACAAATTACAGTATTAATATAATTATTACTTGACTTGGCAAGTATTTTTTCTAACTTTTGTCCCAAGTGAACAAATATAAACATTCCAAAATGGAAAATTTAATTTTTTAAAATTTTATTATTATTTTTCCTGTAAAAAATATATAAAGTAAATAAACTGTGCTTGCTGAAACTCCTGTTACTCTTTATAAGCAGTATTGACTTTATTTTTTGCATAATCCAATTTATTTACACTCTGAGTTAACTAATTATTTTGGCTTGAGTTATTCCTTTGTGATGTATTCTAGCATTGTATATTCCTTTAATATATCTACGAATCATTCTAAAATAGTATTGTTCATATATATGCAATTTTACTGAAAAATTTAAGATGCCTTTAATATTTAATTCAGCATTTGCAGAATTGTAACACAATGAAAATTAAAAAAAAATTAATTTTTAAGTATAATTCTGTTTATATAAATGTAATTCTCTTATAAAGGTTTGAAATGTGTGTTGAACCCAGCTCTTTTCTAATGTAATTGAAAATATTCACATCTTTGCCTTTTTAAAAAAAATTAACCATGACTTTTATTCTTAAAAAATGCTTATAAAACTAAGTATAAAGTACTTTTTATTACAAGATATTATTTTTAAAGATGAATTTTTTAATTAACACAGGCTGCATGTCTCTGTAAAATGCAATTCCTTAGTTTTTTTCTTTTTAGGGAAAGCAAATCTTTGAGTGTTTACAGGGGTGCCAATTATTATGATTTCACGGTTAAGATTACGCTCTTTGCGGTTTAGTTATAAAATTTGCAGTTTTTGAGAATTTCCCTAATAATCTGTTTAAAATAAGTTTTTTCCCCATAATTTCCCAGAGTTATGAAATTATATTGTTTGCAACTTGTCTGCAATAGTTTTTTTCTATTTCTTATACAATTCTTAAAATAACAAACAAAAATGGTTTAATAGAAACCATAAATACATAAAAGGAAAACAACATAGAAATCTCACATTTTCACCCATTTAACAAGCTATTCAGAAACTTAAACTTAACTCTTTATAGAAAAAGCAGAACATATAATCAAATTTGAAATGCTGTGAGCAAGAATTTCTAGTGGTTCAAATGCAGAAAGGTAAAAAGGGCTATCTCCTATACCAAGCCAAATAATAAAAAACTATAACATTTAAAAGTAATCAATTTAATTTCATAATTTTATAGCTAAGTATAAAATTTCAGCGTTGTATAATTTTTAGTTAAGAACCTTTATCCAGGTGTTATTTTTTTTATTTAATAGTAAATTCATGCATAATTTTATTGATATTATATACCTTTATAGAATTATGTAGTATGTACACTTTAAAATTGTGCTGATTTAAATTTTGTAAACTTTAAATATTTGTGTTTTTGTACAATGGCACACATACTGATAGCTAGTTCGGAAAGTTGGCACCTCTGAGATTAATTGCTTTTTGACGCTCAATTAATGTCAGATTTTGTATGTTGCATAATGTGGAGGATAACAATTGAATTGCTGTTCTGTAAGAATTTTCACAATTTCTTTATACTAATTGTGGGATTGCAGAAGTAAGATATCAATTTTATGAAAAAAAATTTTGTAATATTTTTTTTTAAAACGAGTTTCTAAAAAATAACTCATGTATGAAATTTTTTCTTTCTCCAACTTGTTTGAAATAAGAATTGAAGTATGGAAATAGGATTTATCTCAGAATTATTTCTGATTTTTCACTGTTATCTGGCAGAGGAAAGCAAGCTTTTAATATCAACAAAATAAAATATAAGCAACTTTCAAACTTACTAATTCGTATTAAATACTGTTTTTAGTTTGTGTGGAAATTGTGAACAAATTGTACTTGCAAATGAACAATCTATGTTGACTCATTATTTGGTGTAATTATGTTAATAGCTTTCAAAAATATTGTTTACTTATCTTGGCTATTTAATGGAAACTATTGAATTTAATAACATTTAAAAAAAATGTTAAAGCCTATCATTCTTGTAAAGTTCCTTTTGTTATATTTTTAAATATTTTATAAATTGTTAGTTCCTCAACAAGCGAAAAAGAAAATATTTTGTTACACTGATAGTTTTATTATCTATCATTAACATTTCTTTAGATTCTTTCTTTACTTTAATTCCCAATATATGTTATGCTTCAACTGTCTGTCGATTTTGAATTAAGCTTAGGGTGGAGACTTGCTCAAAGAACCAGTTTACTCAATAAAGAGCATGGTGATAAAACTTTTTCAGTTAAAATGTATTACACAACGGATAAAAACATTGATAAATATATAATAAAAATTGTGGATTAAATGTTTTAAACAAGTACGAATTTACTGATCTCTACTGAGATTACTGTATTGCTGATAAGGAAAAATCTAGATGGTTAAAGCAGAGCTGACCAAACTCTTCCCTCAATTACATTTAGATTAATATTTCAAGGGGGTGACGGCACTATTAAAAAGTCATTTTAAAACTAAGGAATTGTTCTAATTATAAAAGCAACTGGTTTTTAGGGAATTGTTTTTTTTTCCTGAATATTTATGCAATCAAATAAAATTCTGATGTGTCATTTAATATAAGAAATAAATTAAGGTTAATTCTCTTTTAATGTTAAGAGTGAAAAATCATGGGGTGTACAAGCTATTTAGAGAAGGAATAGCCCTGGAATTCTTGGTACTCTATACCTCTGCACTTGAAGCATTGAATCAGCAATCTAGATATGTACTAGTAGAGATCAGTGAATTTTAAGCAAAGTTCATAAATTATATTTGATTAAGTTGTATGCGACATCTAATGTTAAGGTTTAATATTTTAATTTATTTATTAACCTTAATTAAAAATTCTAAATAGTTAGATTTTTTTAAAATAAATTTAAGACTAAATTTCTGTTAGTAAAATTGTGTTAGGTTTAAATGTATTTGGAAATAAAAGTTTTTTTTTTGTTGAAGATTTGAATTGTAAAAATGTACAAAATTGTAGTACATGTACCACTCTTTATTTCACAAAATTTATTTATTAGTTAGTGCTGTGCCATGTTTTATATATGTAAATAAAGTTTATTAAAATGTTTTTTAATAATCATAGAAAAGAAATGCCTGAATTGCTCGATCTGTAATTAAATATGAAGTATAATATACTAATTATGTATACAAATGCTGTCAAAGATTTAAATATCTTTTTAAAAAATTAAATGCTTTAAAACTAAATAGCAGTTCTGTACAAATCTTATTTTATGCTGTTTTTTTTTATTTATTTGAAAAACTTGTTTTAATGTTTTCTTTTTTATAGTTTATTTAAAATGGTCTCTCATTAACAACATTTATGGTTGCTTGTTATAACAGATTGTAAATTTTTGTGACTTATTGTTTTTTTATTTCAATCAAAAGCTATCTCACAGTACAAATTTATTTTAATTGTAATATTTGTATTTTCTTTGTTTTGATTTAAAAAGCTTTGTTGGACATTATGGAATTGTATTAATATACCCAATAAGTTTAGCGTGGTGTAAATTTTGTGAAATATATATAACTATTATTATAAAGTTGGTATATTCTTTAAATATTATAATGCTTAACAGTAACAACCTATGCAACGTCATACCTTTAATGTTCTTAGAGAATATTTTCTTAAAATGCTTCAAAAAAAGTGTTGGGTTATTTTAAAGAACAATTAAATCACGAAAATATACCACATAATATATTTTGTGATATGTCAAGGTTAGTGCTTGGTTAATATTACAAATAATTTAATTATTTACTATAATAAAATTATTAAATTTATTATTCTTTTATGAAAAATTTGTAAAACTCAATTGGTGTATTGATTCTCTTAATTTCCTCTCTATTCATTGATTTCTCTTACACGAAAAATAAACTTCACTTATGCGTCATTTTAAATTCTATTACTTCATCAAAATATTTGGTAATTTCTAAAACTTATAACTATGTTATTGATTTGATTTAAGAGATAATTTGTTGTAATTTACAATGAATGTAAAACAAATATACTTTTCGTTTAAAGGGTGTGATATATATTTAGCTTTTTATGAATATTTTTATTCAATGAATACTGATTAAGTTTTTATTGAAACTTCTACTGCATATCAATATGTCTTAAATTCTGGTCTAGAAATATTTTCTAGTAAACTAATGTGCTTCCTTTAGTTTGGGCTCAGATTATCACCTCAGTGATTGTGTATATATTTCTTGTTAATCTATATGTTGAATAAAAATTAATATATGTTATTTTATAACGTTAATTTACAGTGGTTGAATCACTTTTAACACGCACACCAGGGATGAAAAAATAAAGATGGCCTGACCCAAAAAATAAAACCACAAACAGGGTATCTGCTACATTTTAGATTTTCAAATTCATTACTAATTGCAAGAATTTTTCATGACTTAACGAAGTTACTATTTTCTCCAACAAAAACACAACAATAAATTTAAAAAAGCATTATAATAACATTCATTTGTCATACTCTGCATCTTCATATTTATAGATTTTAAATCTAAAAAACAGAGTAAAGAAAGAGTTGAAGTTGAAAAAAGTACGAAAGCAAATAATTTTTCTTTCTTTCTGCAGAATTATATTCTAAAGATACTTTTCTAGTTCATCGGAAAGGAAAGAAATACGCCTGATTTTTCTGTTCTCATTTCGGAATAATTTTTAAAGAACACGATAAAAACATTTTATAAATTAATCAAATATGACTGTGAGTGGGGATTTTGTTACAAATTTAGATATTCGGAACACCATGAAATTCCATTTTAAAAATTAGATTTTTCGGCAATCTAAATCCATGACTTTTCATGATTTTCTTTAAAAAAATAGTTAAAATCATGACATTTCATGGCAAATTTTGTTCTATTCCAAAATCCATGACTTTCCAGGTGCGTGGATAACCTGCTCAAATTTATTGCTAATGTAGATTCATCACCCAAAAACACAGGGTGCAACTGTGGAAAATTAAGATATTCATTTAATGATTATATCTTAGTAAAATAACAGTTAACAAATTATTGATTTTCCAGAAAATTAATTGAAAGGGCTGCAAGAAAACTTTGGCTTACATATATGATTTCCTTTAAAAAAGAAATATTTTAAGCAAATTTTAGAAAAAAAAAAGGTACAAAATTTCAATTTTTACCCACATGTAATTTTCCCCATGGATAAACATAGTAAAATTACTCAATTTCAATATTTTTTTAAATAAAAATGCACCATTTTTGAATTTGTTAAATAATATTGTCTGCAGAAGAATTTTAAGGTACCGGTTCATTTATAGAACTTTACATATAGCTAGAAGTTAGTTATATTTTTCTCACATAAGTTCAGGTTAAAAAAAAATTATAAGTATCAGCAAAATGTCAAATGGTAACTAACTAATTATTTTTTTAAACTAAATGGAGTTAAACCTTTTATGTCTTCCATGAGTGAACAGAACACATTCCATACTGCCCCTGAATCGTTAAAACCACTCTAAACAAATAGATTTGCTTTAAATTTTTATTTCAAAATATAATGATTGAGAGATTCAGAGTAGAAAATAAACATTTTATCTAATTTATAACCATGGACAAAAGCTTTAAATAAAGAAAAAAAATCAACATTGCAATAATTGATGACTTATCTCACATTTCAGGTATATAATGATGTATTTAACACTTGAAAATGGGAGGATAAAATTAAATGCTTTAATTATTTTGCAAAAGACACATTTCTTGAACATGGAAAACAGAAACAGATGTTTATTGACTTTTGTCTACAAAATGTTAAAAAATTTTCCAGTCCTAAAAGTTCACTTGTTCATATAGTTTATTCTTCGTCTAGTACAATAACTTCTTCCTTTACAAGAAATTCTACAACCTCCTCTTCAAGATTTTCAGATTCTGCATCAAGTTCATCTGTATCAATACCTGCAACATAAGAAATTAAAAATAAGTGTATTTTATAATATAGGATATACCCAACACTAAGCATATCATAAGCAACTGATATTTTTTGTCAACAGAAAATAGCTATTCATGTAAAATTGATACCAGTAATTAAACAGGGTTCCCACTCAATTTCAGAAAAAATTCCCTGACTCTCCTAGGTATATCGGGTAAATTTCAATGAAAACTAATACCACCTTTTATCTATACTACGAAATTTTTCATCCGAAAATTTCGATTCTTTTATTTGTAATGCCAAGTATTAGATTTTCCATGTAAAATAAATATCATTATATGTGGAAAGAAGCATTGCAGTTTGTCTAAAATGTGAAATTTTTACAATAAATAATTGTAATAGATGCTAGAATTATTTAACTCGAATCTCAACAACTAAGTACTGTTACTGACAATTTTAAGACTGGTTTTTTTCCAGGGTATAATAAAGGAATTTTCCAGGTTTTTGCAAAAAAATTTAACTTTCCGTAACCATTCCCTGATTTTTGGAGTTGAAATAAAATTCCCTGACATTCCCCCCCTTTAATAAAAAAAAATATAAGATTTCACTAAATTGCTCTAAAATTCAATTGACATACAAAAAATACCAATTTAAATAATCACTTACCATTACGCAATTCAAGCCTAAGCTTTTTTCTGCTATTAAATTCATCTAACCTCTTTTGCCTAATACTCTTGAAGTCTTCTATCAGTTTCCTTCGTTTTTCCACAATTTCCTAAAAAATAATTGGATGTCAAATTTGGCAAATACACTACAAGAGGTCATGCATTAAATCATGACAAGCAACTGGGAAATTTTTAAACTAGGGATAATTATTGACACATAAAATTATAAATATGGCATGATAATACATTCCACCCTAAACTTAAGATATTTGTAGGGTAATAATACACAAAATCAGTTATTGATTCATATATAAAGAAAGCCATGTAAGAATGACATGTAGCCCATATTTGTTAGTATGCCATTAATGAATTAAAAATATTCATTAATACCAGTGATTACCCTAAGTATTCAATGTGTATAGCCAAATTTTTCAACAAAAAATAACCATCTTTTAATCATTTAAAAAATACCTCAATTAGGACATGTGCACTAATTATTGAAAGTATTGTTGAAAGTACAAATTCTTTTCTAGATTATATAAGTCACCATAAAATCAATTTATACATAATTTTAAATATATTCAATATTGAGTGGCTCATTCTATTTCTTAAATTAATATTTACTTTATTTAATTAAATAAAAATTTTGATTTAAATTAATAGTTTAACTATTTAAAAATGTTATCGAGTGTATTTTTTAGATTTAAATAAAAGTTACTTATAAAAGCACATTCAACCGAACAAAAAAAGATTATTATTGATCATACCGAATATATAAAGATATGTAAAGGATTACACAAACTTTGATAAATTTTTATTAACTTTGTTACTGGGTTCAGCATTCCATTAGAGAAATAATTAAAAAAAATTTAAAGAATTTTGAAATTTAAATACAATGAGCATTAAAGCTAAGCATTTTTGTCAGGAGTAAATTATCTCAGAGCCATTATCTTTTTTACATTGTTTTTCAATCATTAAGAGTTGAAAGTTTTTTGGAATGACAAATCTGAATAGCACAATCATTTCAGAACAAAAATCTAAGTCTAAAAATCTAACTTATCACCTAATTACTGATTAACTTTAATATCATATACCAAATTTTTATCACCAAGAAAAATCATTATTACAAGTAATAAGTTGGTCCACTTACATTTAAAAAACTTAATGAAAATATTATGAAACTTAAATAAAAATATAAAGATTTTTTCCCTTCCCACTTTCATCTTAGTTCCTAAGCTTACACTTTTTCAAAGGGAAACTAACATTACACTACAATTAATTACAATAAACTATGCGTACTTTCCCTGGTAGCATACCTCACACCATTTTTTCATAAACCTTAGAAATAAAAATTCTATTAAAAATCTTACTTTTGATGCTTTGGACAAAGTCATTCTATCCTTGATGTCGAACTGTGCACTGTACTTCTTAAGGTTTTTCTTTATTTCCTAAACAAGACATAAGAATATTAAAAACCAAACAAGTTCATAAAATCAAGGTTTTTACTCAAATAGAAGAATAAAATTACTTGAGTTTTCCAGATACATTAAAAAAATAAATTCCAATCTAATATTGTAATATGCACTGGCAGTGCAACTGACAAAACATAGTGAACCACAAAAATTAAAATTTGCTATTTTTACATTATATTATATATTTTTATTTAAATTAATGCCAAAGGGGAAAGAAGAAGCAATGTGTTCTTTGAGAAATAATGGTGCCAATATCACATACTTGGCGTTCGCCAAATCAAACTTGGCGACTTTTTGGACTATTATCAGGTTTTCTCAATTTTTCAAGGAGCATAGCAGTCCAGTAAAATGTATTTATAATTTAATTCATAGCTGAACTTATTATGTGACAAAGCATTCAATAGTAAAAATAATGATACAAATAAACAACATTTCATATTTCAAATTAATAAAAATTTTAAAACATCCATATGCACGACCATTACCCTGATTTTTTCTTCAGACAATAGTGTTGGTGGCCTGGGCCTCCACAGTAATTGACAGAACCTTTCTAAATCGTGCTTCCTAAGTAACCGTCCTTGGAAAGACCACATCCAGAAGGCATTGTCCACCTAAACATAAAACGTAATAAATAAAAAAAAAGAAGAAAAATAACTAGATAAAGAATAAATAGAACTTCTAATCAAATTTGCAACCCTAAATACTAGAACTTCTAGAACACTAGAACAGAATCCCAGCATAATAAAAAAAAGTTCATCAGCAGCTGTGGTTATACTACCAAAAACAGAAGAAAAAAAAAACTAATTATTTTTAAAATATTAAAAATAAAATACTTAATAATTATGCAGAAAATGAATAATATAGGCTGAATTATGGTTTTCAAGAAAGAACTGTTATGAAAAGCTATCAGAAAAAAAAAAACACAATTTGTTCACAATTGTACTCTATTAGCTGCATGTCGTATTTTTAGTGCCGACAATACACTTGCTATCCAGTGTGCAGACACACACACAAATTCTTTATTTTATTACAGGAATAGATGTTATCTAGATTAATAATGTGTTAGTAATAAATTTAATAAAATAGATATTTTGTTTAAAGTTTAGGGTTTGAGTAAATTTTTGAGAAATTTAAGATTATTATATCAATGACTGTTTAAAATTACTTTGGATTTATGAAATTGCCATAAATATTAAAAATGTCAAATAAATCTTAATTGGAAGAAATAATTTGAGTAAAATATATGAAAGAAAAAATGCAAATATCATACATGCAAAATATACCTTGAGTGATATATATACTTTGAATATACCTTGAAAATATATCTATATAGAGTAAAATATACCTTGTGCATCCACCAACTGATACCAGAAACTACATATCGCCCAGTAGGGTCCCATTCAATATCAGTAGCCATAAAATGCTCATTTCCAGACATTATAGTGAAATCAGACGTATCAACAAATTCTAGCCTCCCGCTCATTCTATTAAAAAAAAAAAAAAAAAAAATTTGCATAGCTGCAAATTTACATACCTAAAAAATCTATACCTTAATGGCAAATTAGGTTATCTTACTTAAAAAAATGTTTATTTTCATATAAATGAGCTTTTACATAAATGCAAATTTACATACCTTAATCTATACTTTAATGGCAAATTAAGTTAAAAAAAATATTTCATACCTTAATTTTATTAAGGGTTAAAATATATTCAAATATGAACTACTTTTAGAAGAAAACATTGAAAGAAAACACAGAAAAAGAATATTGATTAATTATTGGCAGAAACATTTTTAACTCCAAGGAACCTTTTGATAGTTCAAACACATTCATAAGCCAGTACGTTGTGAAGTTCTTTGGCAATGGTATGAATAGAGAATAGAATTTCATCCTACATATAACATGCAGGCTTTTAAATTAAGAACAAAATTTAGGGTATCTTTTTGTACTCTGAGGGTAGTGATAAAGCTTTGCTCTTATTAGATAATGCCATGCATTTCATTTAATTTTGTCATTTTACTGATAAACAAAGTTAGCAGCTATTAATTATGAACAAAGTTAACAATTAAACTTTTATAATCAGATTTGAACAACTGACCTTTGCTGTTATTTCTATCAATGTTGAACTCTGCAGTTCTTTAATTTTAAACCCAACCCAAAAGATTAGAAAGATACTGAATCAAGCACCAGGATAAACTATCCTTTCTTGGCCTGCATTTGAATTAAAGGGAGAGGAAAACTTCATACAGTTAACTCAACGGCAAGGAGTAGGACCCCTATTAACCAAAGGGGATATTTTGCGTCAGACTGTGGTCAGTGCAAGCTCGATGCAGAATATGAAGAGATCAGTCATCGCTGGAAGAAGAGAGCTCTATCCCGAGACATCAAGGATATCAATAATCGAAAATTCACTATATTGAAGTTAAATAAAGAATTCAGTATATTGTAGATAAGTGCAAATCCTGTGATTGCCAAATACTATGCATTTTGCGGTAACTTTAAAGAGTGGTAGACAGGTAAAAATAAAATGTTTTCAGAATTTTTGATAATTTTGCCAACATTTTTAAGGTCTCATCATGCGAGAGTTGGAACAAACTGGCCTTTCATTTGAAAAATTTACATGAGTGTATAAAATAATTTTAAGTAAAATTTTAAGACAAGAATCATGGATAAAAAAACATAAACTAGCCGCTACTAAAATAAATTTTCCCCCAAAGCGAAGAAAGTTGGCAGCTCTGGCAACCTTTTCAGAAGGGGGTTGCAGAACATTTTTTCTGCTTTTAAAGCACTCACAAATCCATGTTTTAACCATATGCACTTTTGCCCACTTAGTTTCCTTAAATAAAATCAAACTATTAGAGGTTTGCAATTTTCACTGTGGAAAAATTAGTTATGTTATTTTCTGTACTGGACATAAATCACTTGCATCATTAATTCATAAATAAAACCTTGAACTTCATAAAATAGAAAGAAAAATCGAATAGTCAAGAAAATTAAATCTTTTGACATTAAAAATTAGTGCATTTTTTAAGTTATAATTTTAACGGTTATTAATAAATTCCACAGATGATTCACATTGCTTATGAATATATTTACATATTATCTTATTTATATTAAGCTTAAAAAATCATCAACTTTCTTATGCGTCACAAGACTCGTATAAATTAACCAAGGGGTTAAAAGATAATACATACGATCGTAATCCAGCAAGCACTACGAATTGTCCATTAGGTGACCAGAAGATTCGGTTACATTGCTTCCTCTCAAATTTTTCTAAAAAATAAAACCAATAAAGTCTTAGTCTAATGCATTATATTACAGAGCTTGCTTTTTTTTAAAATTTTAAATTCCTAGAATATACTTACTAAGTAAGCTAACTGTTCCACCAGGTTTAATACCATAGAAACTTACAGTAATGTGAGGACTGTCTCCATGAATAACTGCAAATTTATTACCAACAGGCTCCCAGGCAAAAGCTGTTATATTTTCTGAAAAATAAATGTTTGAAACAAAATTTTAGAGCAGAAAATCATAAGCTGTTCATAGTCCAATGTAAATAACATATCCTCAACATCTAATCAATTATTAATAACCTAATAATACCTTAATAATGTGAGGAATGAAGAGAACTTACCTTTTATTTCTGCACTGTCAACAGGTATATTCTTTTCTCGCATGTGGAAAATTTCAAAATTGTAATACATTCCCTACAAAATGGAAAGAAAAAATATTGTAGGCAAATTTTTTATTACGGGAGTTAGGCAGTAAATTTCGTTTTTTAAAAACACATTGCAATCCAAACTTTTATTAAACTGTGGCAAACAGTTATCGAGTAATTAAAGTTCATGTAACTAAAACAACCATAACTAGATAAGCAAAGCTACAGAATATTTAGAAAAATTTAAAATAAAGTCTGCATTCTTTGTATCACATTGCATGAAGGTAATAAAAGAAGTAAGGTATCATATTTGGATGATAAAATAATGTAACATTTAGTATTCTTACACCCAAAAAGTTTTTAAATATCAGATATTTTTCTGCAAATATCTTATTACGTAGCTTATTCATTTTTATTATAACTTGATATCACATTGGTAATCAACCAGACCAAGTTTGAAAATATTTTATATGCAGTTTGCATTGAGTAGTCAGTTGATTACACACAGAAGTGAGAGCAGACTTAAAATCTCTCTTAAGGTACCTCAGAGGAATAAGCGTGTAAAACAAGGAAATAGTTACTCAGTAGTATTTTTCAGTCACTTTGCATAAATGTGGCTTAATGGGAAGAACAAGTAATTTTAAAACCAAAAATTTGTAACATTAAGAGTTTGCTTTAAAAAAGTATTGCAATAAATAACCTCAGAAATAAAAGTCGGAATTTTTTATATTTTATTACATAACCCAGGTGTGATTGTGAGCCTAACTCAAAAATCCTGAACATTTCTTGAGTAAAATCATTAATGTCTTCATAAATTTAAATCATTGATAGTTTAAAAACACGAAATTCTAAATAAATCATATGCAGCCTAATTTAAATGAATAATTATGTATAAGTTTACATTTATGTCTAATCACATTTATTATTCTACCAGAATATATATTTACAAATGAAAGAGATGCCATGTATAAATTCTAGTTCTAATATTTCCAAATAAAATATATAAGAATTTTTAGACATAAATGTGATTTCGTGAAAATTCTAGACCTTGGATTTCCAGAAACTTCCGGATTGCGGTTAGCAAAAATACAGATTTTTTTAGGAACACAACCATCTCTGATAACCTATGACATTAGTTTCATATGTCCATCTTAATATGATTAGTCTAGCCATGCTTGCTTAGAGCAAATGATTTTAGTATGCATAACAAGGGTGCAGAGTCAAATTATTCAACAAAAAATAAGCACCTTTTAAGCACTAAAAAAATATTTTTAAGCACTTTTGGAAAGTTTTTGACAATTGACGGTTTTATCTTATTTTAACCATCATGTCAAAAAAAAATAAAAAAAAAATAAAAAAGCTTTTGCATTGTTTTTGACAATTGTCAAAAATCATGAAATTTTGAATCATGTAAAACATATGGCGTTTTCATACGCTACGGACTGACAATACGCCGAAATAGATTGGGATGGAATTAATTATGAAACTGTTGAATAGAACAATGTGAACTGTGTCTTTTTGCATAATTCACAAGCATAAAAAAAAATTAACATAGTAAAGGAAAAATCTCATTTTGAAAAAGGGAAAATTAAGCACTTTTAAAAAACACCTAATGAAAAAAAGCACATCTAAGGGTTTTTAAAAAACAAAAATGAGCACCTTTAAGTACTTTTTAAAAACGCTACACACCCTGACTATTTACTATACATATAAGCTGCTCAGGTGCAATATTTGCTAAAATGAACTTTCTGAGGGGAACAAAATAAAAAAAAATTCTGAGAATGGGTGGTTAAATGTATTAGTTTTTCTAGTGAAAATAAAATAGTAAATTGGGTTAAATAAAATAATGGCTTGTGTAGACATACTCACACTGTACTTCCATTCATTCTTTTCCTTTTTAGCTTTTGTGTACCTATCAACTTTTACACATAGATATCCTCCACATCTTTGCCAATGCATTGTGCAATCTGCTACACTAAAAAGATTTTTTGATCTAAGTTCTACTCTGCTTGGAATTTCTAACAAAGTTACTCTTGCAGGTACATCTTTTTCTTCAGCTACCCAGTAAGCTACAATATTGCTTGTGGGGGACCAAGTGAAATTTCTAGGAAATAAATAATATGCAAGAAGTTAATTAAAAAAATCTTTTGTAGATATATTTAAGAATTTAATAGTAATCACATTTATAAAATAATGAAATTACACTCACTTAATACCAGTGATTTTAATACTTTTCTTTCCTAAGAGACCAAAAGACTGGAAAAAGAAATGGGGGAAAAAATTTGAAATCAAAATGCAACAATGTATAAATTCAAACATGAAAAAGTTTTCAAGTTATAGGGTGAAAAAATCTTAGTCAAGCTATAGGGTGAAAAAATCAAAAGTCATAGGGTAAAAAAAAAATCTTAGACTTAAGAACAGAAACATATTAGTTTCAAACATAAATGATGTCATTTTTATTAAGATTGTTAGTTGATGTAATAAAAGTCTTAACTTATTTTCGTTTGATTGATAGTGATTTTTCTGTATAAAAGAAGTTAATAGTTTGTTCCACCTCAACTTTTCAGCGCTGCATAAGGTACACTGTTATATAAGGTCACTTTCACCAAAAAAAAGTTATTTTTAAGTTTCAAAATGTTTTCTTTAATTTATTAATATTTTTGAAGCTTTTACTAGGATTTAGAGATTGATCATAAATGAGAATATAATTTTACATTTCACAATAATTCAAGTTCTTAACATTTATATTAAAATCTTTTAACGCTTATTTTTTCTCCTAATACTATGAAAAAAAAAATAATCTAGGAATAAGATAGAATCTACGCAACTTCTTCATCATCATCATAGTTGGCCAGCCAGCCCAATGTGGGCCAAATTCTTCCCATGAATAATTATTCACAATGACTTTCGATTTATTGTTGATCTCCAATTTTTTTTTCACTAATTGCAAGAAAATTAAGACTACACCAAAAGCACCCTCCCTCGCTTTCTTGTTTCAGTGGGTCGAAAAAGGAATTTCTTTTTTATTGTATAGTCATTACTTATTTGAATCACATGGGAAACCTAATTCATTCTATTTAATCTTATGCATTTAATAACACCAGGTTGTTTAGAAATCTTGTACAGTTTATAGTTAAATCTCCAGTTATTGATTTCATTTGCACCACCAAGCATACTCTGCAAAATCTTTCTCTCAAATATTGCAACAAAATTTTTCTCCAGTTTTTTTCATCGTCAAAGCTTCCGAAGCACATGTCAAGACCAGCCCGACAAAGAGTTTTGTAAATTAAGATTTAATAACCTGATAAAGAATAAATAAACTACTAATGCAAGGTTCCCAATCTTTTAACAGAGCGAAAGTTAAGCACTTTTAAGGACTTTTTTTTGAAAAAATTAAGTACTTTCTTGAAAAATTATGGACTTGATTGTTTATCATCGAAAATACTTATGCCACCAGTGACAGTGCCAATTATTCACCTTTCTAAAAATATCAATAAGCAAAAGAAATAATAAAAACAATTTAATTATAATTTAAGCACTGATATAATTTTATTAATTAACATGGACCGCCAAAGAAGTATTAGGTAATTTTTGTAAAATTGAGTCATTTTTTTTAAAAAAAAAACTTTATCACATTGTTAAAAGTTAACGTCATTCAGATTGTAAAAATTAACGTATGAAACTAATCTGTATTCCATTTTTAATGACTTCATTGTAAAATTAAGTGCAGAAATTAAGATTTGCAATTTTTTATATTTTGCTACTAGACCAGCAAATGTGTTATGTTTACTTCTATGATAAACTTTAACAAAATTATCTCCAGCTAAACCTGTTATTAGAAATTAACTTTACATAATGTTACTAAACATTCAGACGAAATGCATGAACCAATATTAAAGCAACAAAAACAACGACATTTTGTTTTAAAAAATTGAACTGAAAAACTGTTCCTATCAACTATAGCTATGCTAAAAAATTAAAAACTTTGTACCAAAATTAAATACCTTAAAGCAGCGGTTCTTAACCTATGGGTCGCGACCCAAAATTGGGNACAAAATTATCTCCAGCAAAACCTGTTATTAGGAATTAACTTTACATAATGTTACTAAACATTCAGACGAAATGCATGAACTAATATTAAAGCAACAAAAACAACGACATTTTGTTTTAAAAAATATAACTGAAAAACTGTTCCTATCAACTATAGCTATGCTAAAAAATTAAGAACTTTTAAAAACTTTGTACCAAAATTAAATACCTTAAAGGGCCCTTATTTTCCAAAAAAATAAAATAAATTAAGCAGTGTTTAAGGACCGTGGGAACCCTGCAATGACAAACTTAAAATAACTGGTTTATTATAAAAAAGTTTGAGAACAGCTTAAATGAAAGAAACAGGTTTGGAAAAGCAACCCTGTAAAAGCAGTAATCACAAAAGTACTATTTTTAACAGGAATCAGTGCAACAAGTAAGCAACAAGGGTCAGTTATGATGTGTAATTCAGAGAAAAAACAACAGATAAAAATAAATCATAAAGACACACACACACAAAAATACTTACTGGAGTTTCATATATGCTTAAAACATCTTTTCCAATTTTGGCGAAGTATTTGTCGTCATGACTCCACCTATAAGAATAGAATAGGAAAGTCAGAATATTATATGCTGGAAGCATGTAGAGGAAAAAAACAAAATCACATTCGTAAAAAATTAAATTTGATATTGAGTAGATCTCCTTTAACTTTATAATTCAAAAAATTTTATAAACTAAGTGGTTCAATATTTGAAACAAATTGATAACACATTGCTTTTTGAATTAAAAATTAATAAATAAAACGAAGTAAAAGAATACGAAATATTTAATTCATAATAACAGAATCATATGGCCATATTTTTATTTCCATTGTATTTTTCTTTATTGCTTCAATAAATAAAACGATGTTATACATTAAAATTGTGGAAATAGGGACAAATTGTTGAATATTTCTTTAGCCTCACTTTCATGTACAATTGATAATAAGCAGAACAAAGCAAAATAGCATAAAAGTAATTAAATTTTTTCTTCATATTGTCAAAAATAAGACTATTTCATGACCATATACACTTAGACCATACTAAAGGAAACTAGATATTCTTTATTTCTAAATAAATCTTTATTAGTAATAATAACTGAAGACTGAATACATATTATAATACGGAGTATACAATTCACGAAATTTCAAAGCAGAAACACCAAACTCTGTGGAACGATATATGTTGAGAACAAAAAATTTGGAGACCATTATATCAGTCCTTAGCAGGGAACAAAAATAAGAAAGATAAATGAGCAAAAATAAACAGCAATATTCCAATAATTACTAAAACAACAACTAGAAATGTCAGAATAAAGTTTAAACATGAAATGAAATATTTATCTGAACAATTACTTGAACATAGGCCACGTGGATAATGGATGGGACTCAGAATGGAAACTTCTCTTTTTGATACCAGTTCTAATTTCCCAAATCATTATACAATGAGGGTCATCTCTGGATTCTGGGATATTACTGAATGTCACTAAATACCTAGAATGAAATAACCCCAAGAATATTTAACATTTGTATAAAAAAAGCTATTAATAAAAATAGAATGTTAAATTTTAATAAAATACATTTTTATAAAATTTGAAAACATACTAAAAAAATCAAAAAGAATAGTAACATAAACACAGGCAAACTAACATGCTATGAGGATATAGAAATCAAACTGTCTTGCCAACGAAATATGAAATTTTTTACTGATAGACTAAATGTTAAGCAGTAAATAATAAAATAATGACTTTTTACATTATTACTATTAAACAATAAATCAATCATTCTGTGTATATCTTTAAACAATATATAAATTAGACAAACATAGCTTAATAACATTAAGAATAATTTGATAATGGACCACATGGATAATGTAACGGCAAGAGTTGGAATTTACATATATTGTGCTAAACATGAGGAAAGTAAAAAAATTAAATGGTGGTATAAAATATTCCTGATGCAAAATCAAAATTATGTTTTCTCTCTTAAAAAATGACCCGCGGCCCATTTGGGTTTTATTTTATCTGCTTTAAATGCACTGAAGAAATTAATTCTTTTCGTCTGCATTAAGCTTTTTCATTACAATTTTTACATTTTTAGTTTCCTCGATTGCAAATTCTTTAGTAATGTCATAGATTATAGCTGAAAATAGAATGTTTAACACACATACATTTAAGATGTTTTTCAATTTACTACTTTATATAACATTTATGGGTGACTTCCAGATGAAAGTTAACAAGTTGATCGTATAGTGTTTTAAAAATATTTTAACATAAAAGCAGCAATTTAGATTGAATTACTAAACAATACTCACTTTACATGACATAAATACTAATAATGTCATATATTCTAAGATTATATGGACAATACAACTTACTTTTCATTTGGGGAAAAGCTGATGCATTGAACATTGTTATGGCTGAAACGTTGGAATTGTTCATATTTTTCACCGACCCAAAGAGCCACTCCCCTAGGATGAAATGTTGCTAAATATGTTCCTAAAGGTGACCATTCAACATAGGTTTCAGTCCATGACTATAGAAAAAATAAAAGTTTAAAATCTATTATAAGTTCAATAAAAAATTAAGATGCTTGTCACAACAGTAATAAAATTAAAAAATTATCTCAGAAATGATTTTAAACTGTAGGTTAAAAATCTTGAAAGTTGTTTAAGTCTACTGTATCATAAAATAATGAATCACGCTATCATTCAATTAAAGCTAATTACAAAATAACTAAATTTTGGTAAGTTATATGATTTTTCATTATTTACAGGGATGAGAGCAGTCAGAAAGTAAAAAAGAGGAAATCCAAGAATATATATATATTTGTGTGTGTATGATTTTTAATTTTTAAAGTTGTAAACCATGTGATTATAAATCCCGATGATTAATTTTAAAATTATACGAATATGAATCACATGCATGATTTTAAACTGAGAGAATATGAATCCCGATATGAGGCTTCTAAATAACGTGAATATGAAACTCTATATCCAATTTAAAAAATGAAAAAAAAAATCATGATGCATAATTTTTAGATCACGTAAATACGAATCACGATGCATAAATTTTAAATCGCGCAAATCCGAATCCAAATGTCTAATTTTTAAAGCACGCATAAATACGAAATTGATGTTTGATATTACAACCGCAAAAATTAATCACAACATTGGATTTTAAGCTCGGGTGAATATGAATCGCTACATAGGGTTTTAAAAGCGTGTAAATACAAATCGCAATATTGGATCCTTACATCTCGTAATTAAGAATCTCAACGTACGATATTTAAATCGCCTGAATAAGAATCGCAATGGTCAACTTTTAAATTAGGTAAATACAAAAATCGATGTTTGATAATAAAATGGCGATTTTAAAAATGCATAAATACAAAACGCGATATTGGATTTTTAAATCTCGTAAATAAGAATCGTAATGTCTGATATTTAAATAGCGTAAATAAGAATCGTAATGCGCAACTTTTAAATCAGGTAAATACAAAAATCGATGAATGATATTAAAATCGCGTGAATGAGAATCGAGGTATTTGCCGAGTCTGGACTTGGGATTTCAAAAAGTCTTGTTTGTATTGTTTTTGTTTAGACATAATAAATAAATATTTAAAAGATTAATTGAATGAGCAAATAAATATTTTCACCCCAAATCCACCTCTATTCTTTTTTTTTGTTTTGTTGGCTTCCACGCCAGAAAACAGGAAGCAGTGACGCCTGAATTACGAAAATACGAGCTATTCGGCGGATATAGCGGAATAGCTCGTATTTTCGTATTCGGCGGAATACGGAAGAGTTAGCAGATAGGACGCAGTTTGAATTTTCTGTTTATCGTTGAAAATCGCAAATAAATATAATTTCATTTCAACGACTGAACTTAAAAAAAAAAAAGCGGGATATTTTTATATATATATATATAAAAAAAAACTACCCCGAAACATTTAGAGAATCAGAGTTTTTGATAAAAAGGTTGAAATTCGAGAGACAAAAGTGAAAATCTGCTAAAAAATCTCATCCCTGTATAAAGGTCAACCAGTTTTATCCCAAGGAAATGATTTTTGGAGAAACTTCAGAGGGAGGAATGAGGACTTCAATACTTTCGCTCCGTGGAAGATTAAATTCCTCATAAAATATTTTAACTTGTGCAAAATTTATTTTTCGCGGAAATTAGCGGAAAAAATGGAAAAAAAAAAAGCGGAAATCCGCGAAAGATTCACATCCCTGTATTTATAAATATATGTACTGTGTACAGAAGAAGCACCCTGAATAACTTTTGAACTAAGTAGTCGGATTTTCACGTATGAAGATTCAATCTTAATTGCTTGAGGTGGCGTCTTAAATATGCTAATTAGTTAGTGTAGACGATATTTTAAGAAACGAAATTGGACACAAAATTTACTTTCTCTGAAAAAGAAAAGAAGAAAATCATGGCTCCAAAAATATAAGGGATAGTATTGAAAATATGGCCCCGAAAGTTTAGGACAATAAAACTTACTTAATACAAAAAAATATGTTCTTTTTGTTAAATTATAAAGCGTTTTAGATAAATATTTAAAAAAAAAAAAAAAAAAAAAAAAACAAACATGTTTAACAAGTAGAAATCTATGACATTGAAAATACTGACTACCCTAACTTTTTTAAATTGATAAAAATTTGATTCATGAATTTTAATGAACACATTCATATGGTGCCAGAATTTGCATGATAACTTGATTGACGAAGAAAATAATAAAGTTACAAAAGTTAAAGACTTACTAAAAATTAAAATCACTCACAAACATATACAAAGCACATTTAGTAATAAGAAACAAACAAATTAGCTTACTTCTCGCTCTTGCAGAAGAGATGGTTCAGGGTTTGTATTCAAATAAATGGCTGTTTTAGCACCTCCATCATACATAACACTAAATTGATCACATGCATCTGATTCCAACAAAAAGTAGTTCAAATTTCCCTTAAGGATTATAAAAATTAAATTAATTAAAAAAATAATGAACCTATTACAATTAGTGTCATATAAACTTTTAGCAATTAGCCTAAAAAACATTTATCAAGTACAAAAGTAAAAATTCATACCAAGTTGGAAAAAAAAGGAATTGAAACACACTATAAAAAAATTAAAGAATAAAACTTTATTGAAGAGAAGCATAAAACATATCTGCAACAATTTATGGTAAGCAAAAGAGGGAGATACTCTAAATGTTTCAGGGGTAAGTAGGACAAATTTTAAATATTTTTGAACATATGAAGTACACCAACAGCTGCTGTAACTAATTCTTCCTGCTCAACATATATTACTAACATTTATAAGCAGTGATTCTTAACTTTGAAAAATCTACAGACTAATAGCTGATTTACCAAATCAATGACAGACCTCATAGATTAAAATGAATGAAAGGTCTACTACATACTCGTTAAATTGAATGAATATAGTTACGTTGGCGTGTTCACATATTTAAGAAAGTAATAAAAGTATAATATAATTTTGCAAAGTGAAAAATCACTGTCACACTTTCCTTATCATATAATAGAGGAAAAAAATAATCTTATCGTAATTCACATGTGTTACACATATATATCACAAAATGTGCTTAGATGTGCTATTTAACTAAGATAAATTCTAATATCTTTTTTTATTTATCAACATGTTGAAAAAGCTAATATTTTGCAGACCACATGAAAGATGAGAATTATTAATTATATTATCTCATAGAATGAAGAATGCCAATTCGAAAAAGTAAGTTGCAATAAAGCTAGCATATAAAAGCTTTTCCCCCTTCATAAATGCAGGTCTTTTTGAAAAAATAATGTAAGACTGACATTAAGAAGGAAGCTTAGTACATAAGTTATCAGCAACAAATTATACGGTACAAGGTACAACATTCTAGAGCATATCTGGGTATTTTATAGAAAGTCTGGGAAATTTGCAAAATGTTTTTAACTATTTAATATTTTTCTGGCCAGCTTTTAATATTCTATAAATTTCTGATTCCAAACCTACTGATTTGATTGTTGCATTATATAACAAGCATATTTGTTGTAAGCGAAAAGATTCAACAAGGGTAAGGAGTTAATTTTAAAATTAAATGCATATATTAATGCTGCGCTGATGATGTGCTAAAATGATAATAAACTCAATTAAAAGTTGGCATAATTGTCAGCAATTTTGAAGGACAAAAATTAGATACATGTTTTATATGCAAGTTTTATGTGAGTGTTTAAACATATTGTGGTATTTCTTTTTTATGAAACTTGTAGCAGAAAATATAAAATAACTATAGAAACAATTCACGTACTAATTTTAAATCATAATTGGCCAAAGCAAAATATTTTTAAAATTTAAACTGAGAATCAATAAACTATATATTTATTACACAGGGTTGCGACACAAATCTGGAAAAAAAATTCCCTGTGCTTTCCCGGCACATATTATACACAATATAGTAATAGGAAACAACAATTGCTGTGCTCTTGTGTAAGCTACATTACGCTAACTATATTTATTAGTTTTAATTGTTGGAAAAACGGCTGAACATACTTAAATAATGCTACAGTAAATGAAATAGTTTAGTATAGTTGAAATATCATGGTTAAATAACCCATAGATAATGCTTTGAGGTCACCATTTTTTAAAAGACAAAAATAAGAAACAGAATTCCCTGTATTTTTCCAGTTTGTAAAGAAAAAAAATCAATATTCCCTGCATTTCCCAGGTTTTCCCTGTGGAGTGGCAACCCTGATAAAATATTTAATGAAAAAAATAAAGCTATTAAAAACATAACAATAAATATAATATAAAGAAATTGCCATATATAAATAATTGCCAAATATTAATAATGTTCTATACTGTACACATGAAACCAAGGTTAAACAATACTTCATATATCAACAAAACTCAAATAGGAAGATAACAAAGTATCTCGTAGTATGGTAAAACTTGCCTTCCTTCTTTCTTTCTTACACATATAAAAAAATAATAATTAATTTTAATAATAATAATTATTTTTGGAAAAAATATTTGCTTACATGATCTACATATGGTTGTGGAGAAGGTGGTTCCCATTCATCTGGAATATTTTCATACCTAAAAATACAAATAAAAAAGAATTAGAGAGACAAGTGTAGATTCATGGATACCATTTAAAAAAAAAACTTTAGTTTAATTAAGAGAACCTGAGGTACATGAGATATTTTTTTAAACTAATAATACTTTTTGTTTATTTCTCTATCAAAAATGATAATACAAATAACAAGAGCAAGGTACAATGATCCAGTTGTGAGTCAAGAGCAATTTTTAGAATTTTCTTTTACCTTTGAAATTTTGCTCAAAAGAACAGTAGACAGTATACAGTAGAGTCCCGATTATCCGAGTTTCCGCTTTAACCGAGCTATCAAATATTTCAAGGATTTTTTTTGTTCTAGTTTATTTTTAAAAAAACCGCTGAAAAATAAATCTGAATTTTATCTTCCTAACACTCAGAAAAACAAAATCCAACAACTTGGTCTGATGACATTATCGTAAATATCGTCAATAATGATAATGAATCTAGCGAAGATGATGAAGACAGTGATTATTAAAATCAACATATAAAAATCTCTCGTACAGATGGTTGTTGTTGATTTACGTCGCACTAGAGTTGCACAATGGGCTGTTGGCGATGGTCTGGGAAACATTCCGGAGGATGATCCTCTGCGGAGGGGATGGCACCTCCGCTTCGGCAGCCCGACGACCTCATTCGGGCTACCGAAATGGACTAAAAGCTATCGAATGTACTATTGAATATATAGAACAACAAAAAGAGGCGACACCAGCCTTCCTGTTATCCCTAAAAAAGGCGAAACATTACTACAGAAAAGCGCCAAAGTTACGTAGAACGAAAAACGAGTAAGGCCTTTTTTAAAGTAAAAACTATTCAATTCTCGTAAAGTATGCTTTTTAAATGTTTTTAAGTAAGCTTTTTAATTATAATATGAATTGTATGTGGTACACTCATATACATTTTGTATTTCTTAAATATATTACATTTATACCTTTTCTTTCCGTTTTCATACTCTTTAACCGAGTTTTTAAGTTATCCGAGTTTGTTGCGGACCCCATTAACTCGGATAATCGGGACTCTACTGTACATACATATTTTATAGATTGCAGTTCTTTCTAATATTAATCAAAATATCAGTTTTAAGAACTTATTCTTCATTTTAAACACAAAAGAAAATGTTTTAGTTACACATTTATTCAATACCAATCATCTAATATTGTAACGGAGCAATGATAAAATATGGCCTTGCCTCATATGAAGAAACTTTTTAAGGTGCTTGTATAAATCTATTAGAAAAAGAACATTTTGAGCAAAAAAAGGGAATTTGCAATCAATCTTTTAAGAAAATATAATAGGTTGACTTTTTTGATGATAAAAACTAAATGAAGTGAAATGACTAAGATGAAGAATCCTGATAGACTGCATTAACAAAAAGCTTAGCTAATATTTTGAGGCATACACAATAATCCAGGTCACATATTGTGGCACAACATATGTACTAATGGCCAAATTGAAATTAAAACTATATTTTTAAAAAACAGTTTAAAGCAATTTGATTTATAAAATAAAATATCAAGCAATACTTACTTTGCATAGTCAGTGAATAAGTTGACATCAAAGCTGTGGTGCTTATCTAATTTGTAACCATTTGTGGCTTTTACTGCCTCAATTGCATGCTCAGGTGAAACAAACTCAAAGAATACATACCTAAAACAATAATATTGGTAATGAAAAAAAAAAAAACATTCATTGCAGTTTTTAAAAAAAAATAAAAATAAAGTTTCTATGCGTAATTATTAATTTTTCAGGGTTGCCACTCAAATCTGGAAAAAAATTTCCCTGTACATATTATACACAATATATTAAGAGGAAACAATTACTGCGTTCTTGTGTGAGCTATATTGGGCTAACTATATTTATTAGTTTTAATTGCTGGAAAAACAGCTGAACATATTTAAATAATGCTATAGTAAATCAAATAGTTTAGTATAGCTGAAATATCATGGTTAAATATTCCATAGATTACGCTTTGAGTGGTCACCATTTTTTAAAAGAAAAAAATAAGTAACAAAATTCCCTGTATTTTCCCAGTTTGTAAAGAAACAATCAAAATTCCCTGCTATTCTAGGCGATTTTTAAATGTCCCGCATTTTCCAGGTTTTCCCTGTGGAGTGGCAACCCTGTTTTTTAATTATTAATTAAAAAATTTCAATGCACACTTTGTTATAATTACAGCAGACCCTACTAATTTATTGTTGGCATAACAAATCAGCAATCTAGCTATTGAAAAAATAAAAAGGAATCTTTTCTAACGTAGAGTGCACAGTCTAGAATCACTTATTACAGCTGTCGTTACACAGACAATATTGTGAAGATACAGCAATATGGCTATTAGAATACTTAATACCACAATCAATCCTTCCTGATGCAATGTGCTTAGTCTGGGACCACATAATACAGCTGTCGTTAAACAATGATTGTTGGGAGGACAAGTCAGCAATCTGGATATTAGAAAACAATAATTAATCCTTTCTGAAACAAGAGTGTCCAATTTTGGACTACTTATTCCACAAGAAATGTAAAGCTTTTTACTTTTAAGCCACCAGTATCATTAAATCAATATAGAGCCAAAATATATCACTCATAACAGCAAGGAATGAAATTTTAGGCTCTGAACTTCCCGTTTTTTGCATCGAAAGATGCCAGAGCTGTTGCTCATTTAATGTCACCCGGGGGGCACTTGTGAACCTATGTCCCGGAGGTGAGCAACATTACCCACGCCACAGACCTGTCCATAGCGTGGGTCACATTTATATACCACACAACAAAGAACAACATACAGAGAGAACCATCCATGCCCTGAGCAGGATTTAAACCGTAACCATTGGCTACGCAGTCAGACACCCTGATTGCTTGGATATCTGGTCAGCATAAAAAAAAATGTAGAAAGCAACATATTAAATCATACGTGGTTTGTCTTACAGTTTTAATGTTTTCAAAAGTAATAGTTTCATAAGCGTAAATTTTTGTTCTAAATACAAAAAAAAAAAAAAAAAAAAAAAAAAAAAAAAAAAAAAAAAAAAAAAAAAAAAAAAA